GTGTGTTTGCATTGGAGTCAACTTGGTGCATTTTCCACATGGTCCCTGATTTCAGCACCAGAGCTACTGTGATCTGATCACTAGTCCCACAGCAGAAAAATACCACGCTACATTTATGTGTGTGTGTGTGTGTGAGCGCGCGCGTGTGTCTTCAAAAGACGACGGGAGAGGAATCGTATCTCTAATGTTTTAACCAATCAACCTTGCTGAAATCTATGTACGAGCAAATTGAACACGATGAGCCCGAGCTAACGCACACAGAAGGCTAGGACGTGTGCAGAAGTGTGTGTGTGTGTGTGTGTGTGTGTGTGTGTGTGTGTGTGTGTCTCTCTTGTGCAGAGCACATTTGCTTTCATGCTGAACACAAACAAAGGCTTTTCACAGTAATAGCCTGTCAGGTAATTTTTATCTAGGAAACCAGTTCCGACGCTGCTGGAACAAAGCGATTCATACGGCGTGTGGAGCCAGAGGGGAAACATGTCATTTTCTAACGCCATTCCTGCAGGGTTCACAACTCTGGCGCGGACTCGGTCACAACGTGCCAGTCAAATACAGCGTGTCGGATCCGACATGTGTGACACAACTTGGCATGCATACTTCATGTGGTGTTAACAGACACACACACGCGGCTACTATAAAAGCCCTCATCAGTCACTAATGTGACATGTGGCTTTTCTACATCGCCCAGCTTGAAGGGTTATGCTAGACTCTGAATAATTCCCAATTAGAGGGACACCTTTGAAAACCAAAATTGGTCTAGCCGAGGATATTCAGTCTATAGGCTATTTTCTTACATGCTCCCTCGGGCTGAGAGAGAAGAGAGAAGTCCAGGAAAAACATTATAGTCTTAGTCTCTGAAAACGTTCCTGTGAAAACATGTTCTCCCTCTGAAGCTGGGATACAGATTCAGAAATGTCTTAAAACAAGGTTTTGAATTGTTAATGAATACAATATAACCTGCTTAATGGAAGTAAACCCATTGAACTCAATCTGTTCAGAGTTTTGGAAGAGCTTATTTTAAAATGGTAAATCTTTTCAAATAAAGCGCAAATGTGATGTAATCCAGAACGACCTGAGGACTTATAGTCCTCAGATGGAAATCCTGTAGTCAGGTAAAATCAGTTCTGCATTTACACAAGAGCCAAATGCTTTCCACATTTTATGGAGCGTCTTCAAGACCCTCGTTTCTCTAAATACCAGATGCATCATTATTTATTTGACATTGGGGGTCCATTTGATTTAATTTGCGCACAGGCCAAGAAACAAACAAAACTGTACACATAGAAAAGAGCACAAAAAATGTAACACAGCCAAAGAAAGATTAGTACGAATCATCTCTTAACGGAGCAAGAAAGCAACAGGAGAAAATAAATAAAACGCATCAAATATGGCTAAGCAGGCGTCTTCGACGTCCCATCGCCATAATCCTTTAATAATTATTGATATTTCTTCATGGACAGAGTAGAGCTCTTTTATGAATATAATAAATCAGGTCGGCGGAAGTCGAGTATTGATCAGCCGACGAGATGAGTGAACAACCATTACCCTTGGATTCTGACAACGCGTGAAGAGAATTCGTTATTGAAAAATAATAATTGGAAAGGCAAGTTAGTGATTTTACCATAAGCTCAGCCGAAAGCGGTTCTTTGGAGCAGAACGAGATCAGACCCTCGAGCAGCTATTTGAATGAAAAAAAAGGGGGGGGGGTCTCTTCAAAGGCCAACTTCATAAACAATCACGTGTCCAGACGTCCCTCGGCGGAAAGCGCGGCCTGTGAAAACGTGGCTGTCAACATCTGCTTACCCCACCGCTCACCTACACCCATGTCTCCCCCTAGACATTTTTCCATTTGCACCTCTTCTCCCACCCCCCCCTCCCTCCCCGTCGAGGTGTACGAATCAGCTTGACAAGGAACACCACTTCAGGTTGCCTCCACTCCTCCTCCTCGTCTCATGGGAACACGAGGCTTTTATACATAAACAGGACTCCGTAATAAAGCTCGGGCTGTTTGTTTTCCTCTCCCCCAGACTGAGCCTGCGGTATGAAGAGGTGTGGGCCGAGGGAGACGATTGGAACTGTATCGCTCGAGCCGGGGACTCGGCACGACGGCTCTTTTTGTTCGCCGGACACCGCGACAGCGAGGACATTTGAATATCAAAAGGAGAGCGGGGAATGTGTGAAACAAAGAGCGGAACCGAGGTGGTTGTGATTGCATCTCAGGAGTCGAACGGGGTCACAGGGAGCTGGGAATGTGTGCGTGCCTGCAGGAAGACAGGGAAAGTCAGTGTATACTCGTGTGTATGTTTGCTTACACAAATAACCGCGGCGTCCGTGTGTGTGTGTGTGTGTGTGTGTGGAGGGGGGGGCATTTGAATGGGCCCTTGGGCAATATTGCAAAAACATTAAGGGGAATAACTAAAAAAAACAATTAGAAAGAGATGATTATTGGGATGTACTCACACTTCAACTACCAAACGACCTACTGCGAGTCATCCGCTGCCCACACACACACACACTGACACGCGCACACCTCAGCGAGGCAATCAAAAAAGCAAGGGGGGCGTGTGATGGGAGACGTGGGGAGGAATATGGGGGGGAGTGGGGAAGCGGTTATTGTCATAATGTATTCATAGGGGAACGTGATTGAATCCGTGATTCCAGAGCACTGATTTGCCAGGGAGACGGACGACCCAGCCCCCCGCCGACACTTGCACACGTGCACATTGGGCCCCCGCATATGGACACCTTGCGCGTGCTCTCTGGCTGGCGGTCTCGCCACATAAGTTTCAAATGCATTCCAGATGTGGCTACATATGGAGCTGTAATAAAGTCTTGAGATGGAGCGTTGGATTAATTGAAGCGTTTGAGGCGTGCTTCGACGGAGAAGGCGAGCAATTAAGTCCCACTGTGTGTGTGTGTGTGTGTGTGTGTGGCATTTGACTACCGCCTGTGTAGCTGTCCGCGCGTGTGCAATGATATATGGCAACACTCAAGAGACATACATTACAGATATTACGGATTAATTTCAAACCCATTTGAGATAGGTGGTTGAAAAATCATTAAGCGTTCCGTACACAAACCGGTGCAGCTCTCACTGAAAGATCCGAGAGACGGAACGAAGACACTTGGCCCGTGGTAACCTCTCCAACATGGACGTATACTTTCTATCAATAGCATTCAGGAAAGTGCAGGTAAAGGCTTTTGCAAAGAGCAACATCTGTATTTCTGACTTTGTACCCTACTTAGAACATGTTTTCTACTGCCAACGGTGCATAGCCGGATTTAAAACCAGCAATCAACGCTTATTTCCAAGACCGTGTTGGTGAGCAGCTGAGTTAATAACTACATTGACTCGAAGCAGAACGTTGCGAAAGAGAAAAAAAAAAAAAAAAAAAAAAAAGGAGTTTAGGAAACTCCGAGCAGGGAGATGAAGAGACACACATGACTGAGCATTAAGTGTTGAGTAATCCCACAGCCAGAAGAACTCATCAACTCAATCTCTCGTTTCTAACTCTTTTGCTCCCTACAGTAAGTTTTATTTGAACCGTGAGGGGAAAAGTCCCTTCCCACACCGTCTCGATACATGTTTTTCTAATTTCTTCCTTCAGAAATTTCTTAATGGCTTCTTTGCTGGACCCTGATGAAAACAACGACTTTTAACCTCCCCCCTCCCATCCACACCCATCTTTCCTCTCCCTCCATCACAGTCGACTCGTTTCACTTTCTAAATGATTTCTTACTCCTTCAATCTCTTTTGCAGCTGTCGAGGCCCCGGCCCGGGCTCGTGGCCGGTGCTGCTCATTGTGACAGGTGAAATGAAAGCCTAGAGAAATCTCATCTTCTTATAAACGCTCCGAGGCATTCAATGTGCTGGTGAAAAAATATATACTACCCCCCCCCCGCCCCTCCCTTTTCTGAAACTCCAACAGATGGAAGAAGAAAAAAAAGTGAGCTGTTATTTGAAGACCATTTGAGGTTGTCCACAGTTAGTCAATGCTGTTCTTCTGTCGGGGGGAGAGAACCTTTTCCATATATTTACAGACTGGCTAATGTAAGAGTTTCAGTCAGCATTGAAATGTCTTCCGGAGTGTCACTCAAGTCGGCACGTTACTTAGTTTTGAGATCCTAATTATTTAGATCGTTAACAATCGGTCACGATTAGTTATGCAAATATATTCCAAAGATAAATAAAATGTCCCGCGTGCTGGGGAGCAGTTTCTGCAGATTAAAATCACTTCAATGTTTATCGTCGCTCTTTGTTTTTTTGTTTTTTTCCTCCCATCTAATCCCAAGACCGTCAATAGAAGCTGGAGCGAGAAAAAGAATAAGAAGCAAATAGTAGCAGACCAACGGCGCCGCAGATTAGAACCTCAAGGTCACAGGCGGAGAGACGGAGACCACAAGAAGGAGCCGGACAGCAGCCCAGCAGGTTTTCTGTAGGCGGCTCCCCTGCCGTCTGCCTTTTTGGTTTCTGAAGTGAAGCTTCTCCATCGCCCCTTGCCTAAGAGGAGCTTTTGTTGCACCGCTGCCTCATTCCTCCATCTCAAGCCTCCTCCTTAGGCAAATCAACCTCACCTTCCTCCACCTTTCTATCCCAATGCGGCTGTCATTCAAGACGCCTTTGCGTAAACTCTCCACCTCATTTATTTACTCAGTTATGTTTGCATGTTATTTTTTTTTTGTGCTCTTCTCTCTCAACCTCCCTCCCTCCCTCTTTTGTCCTTCCATCCAACCTCAACCTTCGCTCTGTCTCTCTCAGCTGCTCTATTCTCTGCTGTTTTATTCGACACTCACCGCCGTTGTGTTTTCTGTCAGATTTTTCCTTATCTTGTGCTCTATAGAAGGCTTCACCTTCTGCCCTTTCATTCGTCTTTTCCTCCGTTTGACCCACTATCGCTCCACCCGTCTTTCCCGTCTCCGTTCCAGCGCTTCCCGGGATCTTCCATAGCCCCGGTATCTCTTTCTCTCTAACATCCATTTCTCAGTTTGTGCGTCCTCACCTTGTAATTCTCCACTCTTGCTATAGAGTTCTCGCCTCTGCTCTCTCAAGTAGGCGCTCATGCTGATGGCATGGGAGGAAGATTCAAACCTGCAAAACACACAAAAAGGCTTCACACACATGACAGAGGAGTATATATCTACAAGGAGCAATGGAGCGATTTTAAACACAGCAAAGCTGTTTTAGTCATCTGAGGCTTTAAATTTAAGATTTCTTTTATTATTTATCGAATTGAAAGAACAGGATCCTTACTTGAAGAGCGACTGCTTAGCGCGCTGCGGTTTTTTCTTGGCGAAAAAGGCAGCAAACTCACTGCCGGTCCTGGCGTAGGAGAGCTGAGCCGACGGCTCGGTGGCACTGCGGCTGTTCTTCACGTCCAGATACTCCATCAGCAGGACCTGAAACGGCAAACAGAGCGCGGGGTCAAAACCTCTTCATGGGAGCTTCTCCTTCGGCCCGGGTCGCATGGCATCAATGTTCCCATGCACGCACGCACACACGCACACACACTAGGACCTGCATTTCTTTTTTTTCCTGCTTTTATTTTCTTATCACATTTAATGTCAGATTGCAATTGAAAAATCTCCTTGTTCGGCAGAGATAAACATCCAGCAGATCAGCACGAGGTTTGGTTCTTAACGCAGCTTTTAACACCACCTGCTCAGCGCATCCTTAAAAACAAATGAAAATCAAAACTTTTTAGAGAGGAAAAGGCCACCGTCCCTTTCGCCGCAAAAACTTTGTTGGCCTACATCTGTCTACGTGATCCATCGTGAAGTCCATCAACGTCTTATCAGGCTTCATAAAAATCTTATCAACTTCTAACAATAGCCGAGGACAAGCGCACTGGAACTGCGGGCTGACAGAAAAAGTTTACTTCCTCTCCTCCATCATGTGCTGCTTTTCATTGGCTCTCATTTTTCAAAACCTATCCGTGCTTCATAATCTCTTCTCTCATTTCTATTTTCTCCCTCTCTCTCTGTCCATCTTCCGCATTTCATCCTCCCCTTTCTCTCTTCCCCCCTTCGACGCTCCTCTCTCCGTGTGAACACATATGTTCTAAAATAGCCTCCCGTATCTAATGGCTTCATAATTTAGCAGGGCCATTTAGCCTGCGTGTGTCTAATTCTGAGGCGCCGTGCGGGTCGGCCCAGAACGGAACAGGAGTAATGGCCGAGCAGATGGAGATCCATCTCCACCGTAATGATGTAATTAACGCGGCGGAGAGCTCCCCGAATCACGCATGGGAAAGCCATTTTACCGTCGACGGTAATTCGGTGACATGCACACACACACGAACACAAAAGGAAAAAAATACTTGAGCAGGTATCCTGCATCATGAAGAGGGTAGGTACTTTTACAGATTTCAATGGCTTCAAAAAAAGGTCAATTTTGTTAAAAAGAGACTCCTGAAATTGATTTCTCCAACCAAAAATTGTGCTCTACGGTTCCATGTGTAATTACTCCGACACACTTTCCCGCACCGCAGGCGGCAGTGGAGGGCCGTCACACGCGCCCTCCTCCAACCCGGCAACACCAGGGCATCCACCCGCCACAGGCCTCACGCAGCAACTAATCCTATCAGCGTATTAATTACCGATGATGAGCCGATGGAGCGAAACCCCCCCACTTGCTTGCCAGCTAACGCCCAAGTAGACTTAATGAAATGCCAGCACTGGGCTGATGAAGGGGCTCCGACCCCACTTAAATTGCATTAGCCCAGAGACAGAGTGAACTTTGGAGGCAATTAGCTGGACTGCTAAGACAGAGGGGGGAAAAGAGAGAGAGGAGGAGAGGGATGAGAGGCAGAAAGTAACAAGGAAGGAGACAAAGTGGCTGTTGCGGGCAATAGGAGCAAAACTTTACAAGTGTGAAATGAACACTGAACATAATGTTAAACGGACAGATTGGGAATGAAAAGACTAAAGGGAAGAAGAGAACTTGTGTTAGACAAAGAGGACACGGGTTAAATAACCAGTTGCTGCATATTCTTGTAACAAGTGGATTGGAACTAAATATAACTCAATCTCTGCGCAAAGCGGAAGACTTCATCCTTGGTTGTTAAGGTCATAAATGTTTGTTTTAATAAACCACAATGTTTTTACAACTACAAACAAATCACAACAACAACGCCTCATTTAATGCAAGTCGCTTCTTCGTGTTGACGTGAGCCAGGCGAACTGCAGTCGCCCCCCCACCACACCGCTCGATGCAAACCAGACGACCCGTAGCTGCCGAGCGCCGTGTGCTCCAAACATATCTGAAGCGATGCAGTGTGGTGCTTGATTATGATACACATTTTTATGTGCTATAATAAATGTGCAGTAATTGCATCTATACAGAACCAAATCTTTTGTCCAGTACAAGTAAGATACTAAGATATTTGGCGTTTTTGACACACGTCGACCCTCCTGTGAATATTTTACTCGTCTGCTATTGGCCGATAAAACAACAGAGCCGTCCGTCTTTCTACAAGACTTGTGTGCGCTGCACTTGTCTTCCGTCAGACAATCTCCCCTTCTTCCTCCCTTCCTCCCCCTCGCCCATCAGGTCAAGCACATGAAATCTCATTAAAACTGCTATTACTCATGCAACAAAGAGGCCTAGATCCCATTACTGTCACCTGAGTGTGACCGCACAGCTCACCGGCGAGGCGAGCGCTCAGAGTGGCGGAGACGTGTCAAAAATAAATCAGGAATTAGTCAAAATAAAAAAAGGAATTGTAACAACAATTAAGGAAAAGGTGACGAGATTTGTGTTCGACAGCAAAAGACGTAATGAGACAGATTGAAAGGTGTGGGGAAAAATGAGGGACACACAAAAGACAAAAGTACAGCGTTTCCCTTCAGAGGAGAACACATGAACAAAATAAGCACATTCAATGTTCGACAAAAGTTATCGATGGCCCCTGGAGATCAGTTCCAAATGGGACCGTATCCAATTCAGTAAACGGAACGTCGATAGGTCTGATAAGGCTCTGATATCAGAGGAGGGCAAGTAGTAGTAGTACAGGTCTGAAATCTGGGAATTTAACATCTTCAAGGTTCCCACTGGACCCACTTCTATAGTTCTACAGATCTAAATACGTTCAAATCATCAGCATGCTACGATTGGTTCTCCGAACTTTCATTAAACGGGGACAAAAAGCTGAAAAGACTAAACTGGAGGGAAAAAAAGTAATTGAAAAAGAAGCAATATTCACAGAAGAATGTAACACAATGGATGACAAAGAGGGTTTGTATGTACGGATGTGAGACATTAAGAGAATGGGAGTGTGTGTGTTTGTGCAAAACTCACATCTCGCTCATGCCCCCCCCCGACCTAACGAAAACAATAATTTCCAACTGTTGTTCCATCAACCAACCAAGCAACCTTGGTCGGCACCTGAACGTCTCGGGTTCTCGTGCCAATATTCGTGACGGGTGCCAACTTCCATTCAAGATTTTTTTTTAAAGGGAAAAACCCTCATCCAAGTCTGTGTTAGTGATTCATCAGCACTCCCCGTTCATTACTCCTGAACCGAGCGTCCTCATGTCACTCTTTGTGCTCACAGAAAGTGTGCGCTCGCCCTCCGTTCCCTCCATTAGGGCCCAAACACCCAACAAATCAGTGCAATTGGGGAGCGCGTCACCCTGAGCGCTGCAGGTGGGCACTTGTCATTGGATGAACTCTGCAGTCGATTGGCTTAAATTGAAGGAATAAGCATCACTTCATTTCCGCCCTTCCCCGCTTTCATCCCCCCGCTTCCTATTAAGTCGTCAACAACCTCCACGCTTCTCAAGGCTTTATTGAAATCGGCTGTTTTCTCTTGAAGCCCCCCCCCCCCGGCCCCGCGGCCCCCCTCCGCTGGCGTCTTGTCACAAGACATATTGACCGACATCCCTCGCCGCTCTCCGGAAACTTAAAGCCCAGACTGTCCTTGGCCGTCAAAGAGACGTGTTCTTTGTATTGATCGCGCTCCGGAAACTTCAATAACCTTCACAAGTTCTGACAGCGCTCCGGCCCCGGCTGTGCTCCCGCAGTTCGGACCTACCCGCCACCCGGTGGGCTTTCCCACCCGGAGCCCTGCGCGGTCTCGTCGATCTTTTGAAAGCCTTCCTGCTGACACAGGGGTGGTGGTGGTGGGGGAGGGCGGAGGCGCCCGCGTGTTCACCGAAAGCTGCTCCCTTGCTCTCCGTGTCCTTGAAAGGCCCCGACATGCTCCAACATTTCTTGGTGCGTTTATTGTTTTTGGATCAAAGCGGGAGGCGGAATCATGGAGGCGTTGGGGGTGTTGAATGTTGTTTCTATGGATACTGTCCATTAACAGTAGTTGAGTCTTTTGTGTATGTGTTGAAAGGGCCGTAATTGCCATTTTTTGTTTCTTAATGGGCAAAAGAGAAGACAGCGGTGATGAACCACTGATAAATTACTATTCACCATAATGGGTTAAAATTATGGGTGAACGTTACCACAATGGTGGTAAAGCCATCACCAATAACCATCATCTGCTGAATTCTATTGTACACACAGTAAATACAGTTACGCATGTTATTAAGTTCCATGGGAACCATTCAGCTTTACTTATTTGTCGTCAAAACAGCACCTCGTATCCTCCGGGAATCACATATTGAATATTGATGTATGCTCCCGGTCGCGTCGTAACACCCACACCTAAAGCGCCGCGTGCAGATGATCCTCCAAAGAGCACGCCGTGTGCTCTGCAAGACGGGATATTGTGAACCCTTTTTTGCACCATTAAGTCAACGTCGAGGAAATGATTGCCAAAACATACACGAGCAGTTGATTAAGTCCTCAAGGTCTCCAGTGATTTGATGCAGTAGATATTACGTGGTAAGGTGTAAGAGGAGAGCATGGGGGGGGGGGGCAGGATACTTTAGAGATGGCAGACTTCTCCGCGCTCCGGCGGTGTGTAAATATGACGGCGGAATAAATGTGACACGTTGATTAAAATGTTGGCCGAGGAACAACGTAGCGATGTCTGCGCTTCGTTTCTAATTAAAAGCGTCCGTTGTCTTCTGGCTGCTTTCTGGCAGTTCAATTCTCTTTTGTTTTCACTCCGTAACAGTACATGTACACATAATCGGGTCTTGGTTAATCTATGGCCTTGGAAGGGATTCACGAGGCAAGTTTAAAAGCTACGGGAGTCGTCTGAATAAAAGACAAAAATAACAAACGGAAAAGGAAGGAGATCAGAACCACACAAAAAAAATGAAGCGAATGTTAGTTCCTGTTTGAGGAGGAGGGGAAAGGAGTTCACTGCAAAGTACATGCTAAAGCAGAGACCGGTCCCCTTACAACATGTCATTCATTTTATGGAGCCCACGACCAGAAAGACTTTCTCATCTACGACTTCAGAAGAAATGGTTAATAAAATTCTCTTGTGACATTTCTATCATCTAGAAGTCCGTTCCTTCGCCAGGCAGATAGCCGGCGTCGCTCCATATTTTTCAATGCAGGCTCAAAGTCCCCTGGTCTGCAAAGAGGAAGCCCCTCATTAAAAGTGGGATTTGCAATACACACACAAGCAGACAACGGACCCGAGCAGTCGCCAGTCACCAAAAATCCTTGCGGAATGCACAAATGCCGAGCTGATTAACAAACGGGCCGCGAGCGCGAGGTCGAAGGGTGACCAGCGTTGGTGTCCAGTGACACTACGTGGCAAATACATATCAAATAACACTCCCACTGGGTGGTCTTAATGAAGAAGAGAAGAGGGAGGATGATGAACTGCGATCTTTTGTGAACCGCGTTACCCAATTACCCGATAACATATTGGGACTTCTATCTCGTTAGTGATTCAAATGAAATTCTGAAGGGTTTTCTTTCTCTTGACACTTAATGTTGTTTAGACGAACATTGACAATGAATTCAAAGTCGTTGAGCCTGACAGACGTGACTATATTGTACTTTAAGAAAATAGAAAAGGCACATTCGTCATTGATGGGTGAACACGCACAAAAAGAAATCCAGTCACTTTCAATACAACGCACGCTGCCTTGAAGGACTGGGAGAAGTTTCTGATGGAAAAGGGAAAAAGGCAATCACGGATGTACGCGGCAGAGCGGCAAAAGGCACATGGGGTGTACACTTAGAAATGTAAATTCAATAAACGGTGTGAATAATCAATAGATATACTCAAAACACATTCTGGAGAAAGCAGAAGATTACGAGGTAACCTCAGCACACTCCCCTCTGGCATCAATACCCCCGATTACCATCCAGCCGTCTCCGCCTTCAATCAATAGTTCCACACAGGAAATTAACAGTAGAAGCAGCCGCAGGAATTCCCCGAAATGGGGATTAGAACCATTACAGGAGCTCTAAGCCTTCTGGGCCTCGGCCACACGTTCCTCTGCCAAAGGGCCTCGTCACCGGGTGCGTTTCTCTCGGGTCATGCATCCCTCCGCCTGGCAGGTCACGCCGAAAGGTCAACTTGGTAACTTCTCAAAAGTGGGTGAGAAAAAACCCCAACATCTACCAAGATGTTTCTGCACATGTCAAGAATGTGAACTGCAGTAAGCTAGAGGAGCAAGACTGAAAGGGTTTCTCCGTCTACTTCGTTGTTGCGGTGCAACTTCATATGTGGTCGGGTTCTAACAAAGATCATAAGCAGATTTGGACCAATATTCACAAAGTTTGGAGGGGGGTGGGGGGTGGCTTAGGATCTCAGATAAGGTCTCATTATCCCGTAAAACTGAACCGGGAATTTTAGATTCTCCCCTTTCAATCTGTGACTCTCTGAGACAGAGTGGGCCGAACCGAAGAGGGTGGGGGGTGGGGGGCTAGGAGATGACATGAGGAAGGAAATTGCACGGAGCACGAGGGGTATGCACAAGGCGTAGGGAAATTGGGAGACCGGCAAAGGTGCCGACGATGGGCAGGAAGAGGGAAAGGGAGAGCGGCGAGGGTGGGGGGGGTGGGGCGCGATGGACGAGGGGCTTTCACGTTGATAGAATCGGTCAGGAAATAATAACACGAGTGAGTGAATAAGAAAACCTCATTTCACGTAATGAGTATTCTAATCAAGAGATTACATTATCTCGCATCGCGTGGGGGGTGGGGGGTGTTCGGCTTATTGCCTTCTGGAACTGCGCTGAGCACATGCCTGTGCAAGATCACGCACGTGTACCGTGCGCACCGAGACACTCCCGTAGTTATGAATCCATGCTGCACGCCATCTGAGGGGGGGGGGGGGGGGGGGGTGTTCGGCTTATTGCCTTCTGGAACTGCGCTGAGCACATGCCTGTGCAAGATCACGCACGTGTACCGTGCGCACCGAGACACTCCCGTAGTTATGAATCCATGCTGCACGCCATCTGAGGGGGGGGGGGGGGGGTGAGAAGAAAGACGAGATGCACAAGATGCGTGAGTTAGAAACTAGATGGGCTTTCAATTTAAATTTTGCTCGGCAACAGCACTGGTATTTTTTGGGGAGTTTTGTGCCTAGTAAAAAACACCGTCTGTGCAGGGAAGAAGACTGACCTTGCCAAACATTACCATGACAACAATCAAAGCATTCAGCAGAGAGTACAGCAATTCTTATTCTCGATCTATCTCTCCCATATTTTTTTTTTTTAACAGCCATCTCTTACCAGGACGTAGACTCTACTCCATGTACTGTGCAGAGTAAATCAAAGTCCTGGTTGGGTGGGAAATGCCTGTTGAAATGAAGTAGGAAGCACATCCCGCTCTATCTGGTGAAAATGTCCCGATACATATGAAAAATGTTTTCTTGGGTGTGAACACACACACACACACACACACACACCGATAGCAACTATTGCCACAGATTTTCCACAGATCAGCTCAACAGCTGCTCGTCCCCATCAGCCAATCAAACAGGAGCAGGGAGCACGAAACCCGGAATAAACACACGCCAATTAAAGAACATTAAATGATTCCAAGCAATCAAGCTTCCCCCGTCTTCTTCACTCGCTTCTTTTTACTGACAGATTGAATGCCATCCATCTCATCGCCGCCAGTTTCCCAAACTGATTAATTTACTATGCGAGAAGGTGAATTAAACTGTGGTTTTAAGACAAGTGCTGGTTGGAAATTAAATCAATGACAAAACAGTCTACACGGCGCCTGATGAAAAATAAAATTCTGGGGATGTGCCAGCAAGGAAGGCAAAACAAATATAGTATAATAATATGTGCAGGGCTACCATATGGCCTCAGATGGACACAATAACGTCCAATAAACATTAGAAAAGATTATTGCCTCACATCAAAGTAGGCTGGATGCAGAGATGCTACAAAGCTTTGCTGACATTTGAGACCCGGCAAACTTTCTTCTTTTTCAAACCAGCACATCGCACAACAAACACATTGCCACCTTTTCACCGCCGCCGCTCGTGTATGTATAGATCTGACCTGCAGCACTGTTTGGATCTTGGCGGAGACATCGGCCTGCTCGTAGAGCTTGATGCCCTCTTGGTGTGCGCCGCCGGGGCACTGCACCGCAATCTGCTGAAGCTGGGCCAGCACCACGCTGTGAGCATGGGCCACCGCCTTGAACTTCTCAAACAACAGCTCCAGCAGGTCCAACAGCAGCCTGCAGAGGGAGCCAGAGGGAGGGGAGAGGGAGGGCGAAGAGGAGGGACAGGTAAGGATGGAGAACGGTGGGAGGGCGTTAAGAGAACCGAAGCAACATAAAAATTGATGGGATACATTTTTGTTTTTTTGGGTAGGCTAGAACAAAATTCACTTGACAGTTAATCAGAATTATTTATAACACACTTCGACAATAAATAACACTGGCATTGGATTTCTGAATGAAAAAATAGAACGAGGAATACAGATTCTGTTTTCATTAGAAAGGGAGTGTGGTGAGACTGCTACTGCCAGCCAGCACACCTGTATACACCCACAGGTATATATTGATTTTTTGTTTTTTCAACCAAGAGTAAAGAGCACAAGTCTCCTTGCCCACAATTATTTAAAAAGGCCTGAAAAAAAATACTGCGGATCATAGTGAACAGCATCCACATGCCACCCCCAAGCAGAATTTATAACAAAGTACTTGTTGGAAAAATCTTGTCTTCCACCAGAAGGGAGAATATGGATGCATTTTACTCAATGATTCTGATCCAAATGATAAAACTGCGATGAAGGAAAACTGTCAAAAATGATCAAAATAACACACGCGACAGGTCCCACAAGTGCATTTCACATTTACACCAATTAGGGCATTTCGGTTACCTGTTTCCACTCGCATATTGTATTCACCACACGCTCGCTCGCGGCCATTCCTCAGACGGCAATAACCCGGGCGCCCTGAGCCGGCTCTTTTGAGAAAAGCGGCGAGTGGCTCCTCTCATTAGCACCAAATGGCTCCGGCTGAACAAGAGAGCCCAGCCAAAAGCAAAGAGACCTTCCACTTGATCCGAGTGCCGCGCTCTCTCTGTTGCTCCATCTACACTAATGCTTTCACGCCGACTCCGCCGTGCCGGCTTTCTGCGGCAAGGACAAAGCTTTCAAAGCAAAGGGTTGCATTAGAGTCTGAACGAGAGACCGGTTCGGCCGCGCTGGTGAGTACCCACTTTATTTTAGTGGAGTTTTATCACAGTTCCAAAGGAATACAGACACACGGTTTGTCGTACACTAGTCATTTAGTTCTCTCCTCTGGCTTTTTTAATTGTTTTTTTGTTGTATTAGGGACCTTCTCGAAGCGACTTCAGCTTAAAAGCTCAAAATATTGTGAAGCGTGCTACCACAGAACAAACCCGAGCTTCCTCGCTGATGAGACAGAATCAAAGTGTATGCTTCCAAACCAAAGTAGCTGATACTGCCAAAAGCAAAAAAGTGTCCTCAAAAGCACCCAAGAGCCCTTCACACGTCAACACAAATGAAGGCTGCGAGGAAAGAAAGCATGTTAAAAGTTTTGTGGAATGGCCAAGGTTTCCTGGGAAAGCATCGGGATAATGGAGAGGCAAGAGAAAAGTTTCACCGGGCAGGCGGGGGGGGGGGGGGGTACTTCGGTGGTCTGTCCATCACTACACTGGCAGTGGCGGCAAGTAAATGTTATTAATGGAGAGGAAACGCAGGCACAAATCACCGCGAGCTATAACTCAGCGGACGGAAGACGCTCGTGAGACAAAGAGAGAGGACCTGTGAAAATGCCAACGAGTCGCTCTCCCTCTCTGACAAATACAAAATGTATGACTTCGACCTTGTCATCAGGGTTCTGGTCTAATATCTGATGGTTTCACTTCTAAGTGCATTCCGACCGTAACCCCACTACAAACACACACCGGTAGACAGACAGACACACGTAGAGCGCAGACAGCTTCGTCCTCCTCATTATCTCCCAGCGGAGGCCGACCCGATCCATACCGTGTGTTCTTTGAGGCCTCACTTCTCATTTCCCCTCAGAGATCGAAGCTTCCACACGTTGCTGATGGAGAGTCAGGAAAGACAGCGGGGAGCACACACACGCGCACGCACGTCTACCTGAGGGTCCTTGAATAACCGGTCGGTCGGTGTGCGTTTCATTGTTCAGAGGACAACGATAGGCGATCCAAAGAAGATGGTTATCGAGTTGGCTGTTGGCCACAGAAATGGTTGTAAAGTGGCCAGCAGAGTGTTTAAACAAGCAGTTTTTAAATATCAAATATCATTATTACCACAAACACATCATAACACATTTGTCCCTCGGGCCTCGAGAACACTGTACTGAACAGGCAGGGAAAAAAAAGAAAAACAGTATGAAAGACAAGCAGTTAATCTTGTGATCAATGTGGTTTTCTTGTTTTTAAATTGGATTTGAAATACTTATTTCTCATTGCCTTCTGGTCAATCAAGCATTTCTTCCCTTTAAATCACTTCCTTTGTCATGGGATTCAGAATCTCCTACACAGTAAAAGAAAAAAATATATATACCTATTTTTTGGAATGGAGAATATGAAAAAAAAGGGAGTTCATCAAGCTTCAATGCAAATTAAGCCGAACTACTCACAGATCGGCGAGGCGTGATAATAGCGCTACTGAGTGGGTACCTGTATGGAGTTAAAGTAAAAATCGAGTGAAAAGGAGCTGGAGTGGGAAGTGCACTTCATTGTGGCGAATAACCAAGGAAAGCAAATGATAACATAAACCTCCGAGAGTAAGCCGCACACCGCCTTGTCTATGCTGTAAAGCGCTTCAGAGTTGCCTACCAGTCGGCGGTGCCATAAAATATAGCATGCAATATGAGAGACCATTGTTCCCTACAAGTGGTACACTGGTTGGAGTTTCCATAGCAACAAGCCTCGACTTTAAATTGAACTGAACAGATCTAGGTGTGTATGCATCCGAGAACGCGCACACACACACACACACACACACACACACACACCTCTAAGTGTTTGCCAAATTGACACAAATACTGTGCTAAGCACACACGCGCCTACACGCAGAAAGGCAATTTTACAACAATCCGTAAGGAGTGGGGCCGGCGATGAGCTACACGGTGGCCTGTTACACCGAGGTCAGACGAGAATCAGCAGCCAGCCGCAGAGAGAGAGAGAGAGAGAGAGAGAGAGAGAGAGAGAGAGAGAGAGAGAGAGAGAGAGAGAGAGAGAGAGAGAGAGGGGGGGGGAAGGAAGACGAGGCCGTGGAGAACATCCCTGACAGAAAACAAGACGTTCCTCTTAAATGGTTCAGGTTCAGTGGACTGAGACCTGCGTTTCCCCAAGTCGGCTCCTCGCGAACGTCTGCAGCAGTCAAATGACTGCTTTTTGGAAAACGTGGCAGTCCTCTACGGCAGATGTGAAGTTGTGTGCGAAACCATGACTTGTCTAGGTTTAAAGCAGCAGAGGATCCGTTTTCATGGTCGAAGGCGGTCCCAGTCTTTACGGCGTTTCACACCTGGTTGAATGTCTGACTACGAGTGCCCCGGGACCGCATCCACAACGCGGCGTGCCCCGCCCTCACTCTCGGCCGCGCACACAGACACAAGACTCTCTGCGTGGTAACGAGACAACTGGCTACCAGTACGAGCCGTATCAGTAGCAGCTGCTTGACTGTATTAGTTAGAACATACTTTAATGTACTTGATGACAGGAACCACGTCTAATGAGAGTACTATAACTACAGAGGAATTAGTGAAAAAGGCTGCTTTAATACCTTTTCCATCCAGGTATTTTTACAGTACTTGTTTGAAACAATTTCGTGTTTCCTGAACATCCCATTATTACTGTACCTCGGCTGGCTCTCCTGGGCCAAGTTTTCTCCTCTCTGGTACGCGTGGTCTGCTATCTGGGTGGTGGACCTCTTGACGATCTGTTTCAGCTCAGGTTCCAGCCGCTCCATTATGGCTTTGATGGTCTCGGGGACTTTCTTCAACTTGGCCAGAGCCTTAAGAAAGAGGACGATCGTTAAAAATAATCTCCACTTGAAGCAACTATGGAAATTACGCGAGTAAGACACGCGAGTGGACGGGGGGGTGAGCACACGAAATTCGTGGACGGTCTGCGTGGATCTACCTTGATGAGAATGCCCATGAACTCGGCGCTGTTCTCCTCTGGATCAACCTCAGAGAGGTCCGCTTGGTTCGACTCCCGCGCGTCCTGCTGCAGCTCACGCACTGAAGGAGGCGCGCGCGCGCACACACACACACACACGAGCAAATAAAATGTGAATTCAATCGTTTTAAAGACATTTGTAAAAAGACAGTAGCAAAAGGAAAGGAAAAATGTTGGGTGTTTTAAGCTGTTTGGCTCAAAGACAATGTCCTCAGAGACATCAAACATCAATCAGACATCAAATACTTAATTTTGACAAATCTAATTGTTGTAAGAAAGATTAGAAGATCCCCTTCATAATAACACTGTTACGATGAAATTAATACAACTACAATAAAATACTTTTATTTCCTCCCATAAACAACGCACACACCTGTCACCATCCTGCCCCCATCATGCTCTTTTTCTCTGACTTAGCCGCTAAATTGAGAGTGACAGCGTGGAATGATGCTCTAATTTCCATTAGATGGGGCCCCCCAATTCCCCATCAAAGCACGTTAACAGATTTAATGTTTATGGCAAGTTAATGGACTTTGGGTGCATTTCCCCTTTTCCCCCATTCCGACTGGAGCTTGTGTAATAATTATGACAATTACGAGCAACAAATGAGATGCTCTAATGCCATTAGACGGAACAGCAAAGCTAGACCATTGATGGAAGCTGTCTGATGTGTCGTGATCACAGTGTGTTAGCATGATGGCGCATATGCACTTACCACCTGGCGCCAGCTAATTGCCAGTGTTCTCTATGCATAATGTGAGATACCGTGGTTTAGCTTTTATGTTTAGGTCTCCCTGGTGGGTGAGTTAAACAAATATGTGTTAAAAATCCGTGGAGATTCATGCCACAAAGCGCTGTCTAACAGTCTGTTTGAACATTCACAAGAAGTAGAGGCACACAACTGAAAAGACAGTTGAACCCAAGGTGACATAAGCCTTTAGTGAATCAGGAAACATTTATTGCCAAAATATGTCAAACATGGACACAAGGAATTTGTCTTGGCGGTTGGTGTGTGACAGTAGACAACAATAGACAACAAGACAGCAGTGCACAAGTAATAAAATAAAATGCTAATGCAATGGGTTAGTAGAATAAGGCTATGGGTTAGTATAAAATAAGAATAAAGTTAAAAAATATTAAAAAATAAAGTGCACTATCGAACAAGTGACGACAAAGTGACGAGTGACGAGTGAGAAATGACAGTTAAAGTGACATGTGCAGTATGAAGGGGAGTGACCGGTGGAATGTCAGAGTCAGACAGTGGAGGATCGGGCTCTGTTGATGAGCCCGACTGCCGACGGGAAGAAACTGTTGGTGTGGCGGGAGGTCTTAGTCCTGATGGACCTCAGCGTCCTGCCAGATGAAGGGGCACAAACAGGTTTTGTCTGGGGTGAGAGGGGTCCGCTACGATCTTTTTAGCTCGCTTCAGAGACCTGGAAGCGAACAAGTCCTGCAGGGACGGCAGATTGCAGCCGATGTTCAGCTCCCACTTGAGGTCCTGGGTGATGATGGAGCCCAGGAAACGGAAGGAGTCCACAATAGTGACGGGGGAGGGTGGGGCGCTGTTCCTCCCGAAATCCACAACCATCTCCACTGTCTTTAGAGCGTTGAGCTCCAGGTTGTTCTGACTGCACCAGGACACCAGATGGTCAGACCCACCTGTAGGCGGACTCATCCCCACCAGAGATCAGTCCAACGAGGGTGGTGTCATCTGCAAACTTCAGGAGATTGACGGACTGGTGACTGGAGGTGCAGCTGTTGGTGTACAGGGAGAAGAGCAGAGGGGAAAGAACGCAGCCTTGGGGGGAACCGGTGCTGATGGTCCGAGAGGCTGAGACATGTTTCGCCAGCTTCACATGCTGCTTCCTGTCAGACAGGAAGTCTGTGATCCACTTCGGGTGGATCGGGTACGAGCAGATTGGAGAGTTTGTCCTGCAGCAGAGACGGGATGATGGTGTTGAAGGCAGAGCTGAAGTCCACAAACAGGATCCTGGCGTAGGTTCCTGGGGAGTCCAGATGCTGGAGGATGTAGTGGAGGGCCATGTTGACAGCATCGTCCACAGACCTGTTGGCTCTGTAGGCGAACTGCAGGGGGTCCAGGAGGGGGTCGGTGAGGGTGGGTCAGGACTAGCCGTTCAAAAGACTTCATGACTACAGAGGTCAGGGCGACGGCCTGTAGTCATTGAGTCCTGTGATCCTGGGCTTCTTGGGAACAGGGATGATGGTGGAGGCCTTGAAGCAGGCTGGTACGTGGCAGTACGTGGTCTCCAGGGAGGTGTTGAAGATGTCAGTGAACACCGGAGACAGCTGGTCAGCACAGTGCTTCAGGGTGTGAGGGGAAACGGAGTCCGGGCCGGCTGCCTTATGGGGATTTTGTCTTTTAAAGAGCCGGTTAATGTCTCTCTCCAGAATAGAGAGGGTCGTTGCTGGTGGGGGAGGGGAAGGTGATAAAGATGTAGAGGCGTGAGACCTAAGTATGTATGTATGTATGTAGAGCTACATACATAGAGGACAACATCAGTTTATTTGAGCAACCATTGAATGGGATTTAAAGTGTTGGCCGCACCTTAGCTTTCGGGGGAAAGCAACAAGAAACATTGCTTTTCAGCGAGTAATTTGCTAAAATGGAACTTGGATTTATCCCGAGGGATAAGCAGCAATAAGCAAATACGTTTGTGCCGACTGAGAGGTATGCACAGGGCGGCGTTCAGGCTGCACGACATCGACGGAGCAGAGAGAAAACTGGGAGTCGCCAGCTTAGCGTGCCGGGGGTGGGTGGCGGGGAAAAAAAAAGGTGCTGGGCTTAAAATAAAAATTCAGAGAAACACCAAGGGAACGGCGAGTTATTGCAGGATTAACTTTTTTCATTATCTCCTTGTTTGCGCTCCACTGTTTTCTGCCTGGGAGGAATGCAGCACTGATTCTACGCCCCTACAACCAACAGAGAATTCACACATTTCTGAATACAGTTATAGTCGGCATTAGCGGTTAAAGCGCCAGGGTACCAGTATGGGCGTAATGAATGCCGTTCCCCTGCTGTGATGACAGAGGTGCTGGGTGACTAATGGTACAGATGGGGCGGGGGGGGGGGTTAGGATAATTATAATGTTAACAAGGGATATGTATATTATGATCATAGTTGAAGGTATTATATTGATATACATACACTGCAAATAGAGTGGGTGGGTGTGTGTGTGTGTGTGTAAAAAGGCATCGGTGGTCTGGTTAGTCCTTGGTACTACAGCACGGATGAGCAGCTTCTGGTGCATTCAATTATACTAAATGTGTATGTGTATCCGCAAGAGTGAAGCTAAAGACTTCATTATCACTAAGAGGAAGTGGAAGTAACATTGCAAACCGAAATCTTTACGATTTGTTATGTTAAGAGACCAACAACACGGCTTTGTTGGTGTAATTATCTCTGTAGTTTTCTCTTCTTTTTTTTCATGAGACACACTGGTGAAGCTCTTAGACTCTTACTTAACCCTCTTACTCCCCGATCTAAGGGAGCATCGAGGGAACGTACCGCTGCAGGATCCAGGTGTGCTGAACTGGGATGAATCCAGGAGCTTGCGTGGGGTGGACAGGCTGCTGACATCCAACGCGGCGTTCGGAGATGCGTCTTTGGCCGCGGAGCTGAGACGAGAAAAAACAATCCGGGCATCCGGTGATTATCGAGATAAAGCAACAGCTTCATTCGCACACATATAAAAGTTTAGTATGCGCTAACAGAAATGCGCCCACTAAGCCGGCCTTCTCTAACAAAACCAATCTAACGCTAGAACAGCCCTGAATCTGTAGGAGGGATAGCTGCTGATTTCCAATGAGCCATTTATCAAGCTGGGAGCCGAAGGTGGGAGCGATCCGGGTCCCCTTAAGCCGGGCTGTTTAAACACAGTGTATCTGCTAAGTGAGCGGCGTGTATGGAGGCTGGCTTGTTGTTAGAGGCAACCCGGTGCGGGAGGGCCAGCACCTGTCACCGGCTGACCCCCGGTAATAAATCACTGTACTTCACCAAAGCCCCGGCACCATAATTACCGCATCTCACACACACACACACACACACACACACACACACACACACACGTAAAAGGGCAAACCAACACAACAGCGTGTTCCAAATCATTGTAGCCAAATTATCTCTAATAAGTCATATGGGCACATGGTGAAACTAGCGGAGTCGCTTGTGATTCTCTTAGACGGTGCAACAACTGCAACATCAAACCTTTGTGTGTGTGTATATATATATATTATATATATATATGGAATTCCTGTGATTGAATTGGTAATGTTGTCCTGGTTAAAATAAATGATTTGTTTTTTTGTCCGTCTCTTTTAAACTTCACAGCACGAAGAAGAAACATCAACAAGTCATGCAAGATATAATTGTTTTCGGCAGTAATTGGCTCGGTTTACACACATTCAGCAATTGGCAATTTGTTCCGGCAGTGGACTAACTCACAATGATTAGAAAACTATACAGTTTCCAACTTTCCAAAGGAAGCGCTTTGAAGGCCACATTTCTTACCACTGCAATTATGGGGGAAGAAGAAAAGCTTTTGGTACCACAGACCAAACGAATCGCATGCTCCTGTAAACCAGCATATTAGTGATAAGAAAATGGAACAACACATACTCCAACGATCCGGTGTGGTTCCACTAAAGACCAATGTTTGCAAATCTTATTGGGATCTTAACAAGGAGAGGAAAATGTAATGGGATGAAATCAAATCTCTAATCTGTGCTGGATTTTAAAGTTAAAACGGGTATATTTTGTCACTCCAGTGCGCAATTCTCTAAGCCCCTTGCACAATCAAAAGGAAGCAACGATAAGACTTCTCCCAAGTATTTCATGCATTCACATCTGTGGAAATGGCCAAGCATCCCCTAAAGACACAGAGGGAGTATTCTCCAATTTTCCGTTCCTTTGAGGAGCAACCAAATAATAAGAGATTTAAGAAAAGTGCCTCCTCACCCCAGCAGGCGAGCAGCATTTTTGTCCTTGTTCTTGTGTCCTAAACGGCTGGTGGACTTGATGTAGAGGTGTCGGTGCAGCTCGTCGATGAGCACAAGGTGGATGTTGAGCTTCTTGCTGTGGAGCTCCAGGCGCAGATCTCCGAGCCCTTCCACCTGCAGCAGGGGGCCTTCCAAGGACTCCACGGCAGACACCTGCACACATGACAACATAGCGACCCATCACACGTCATCCTTAGCTCTACATTTAGACTTTCCTAGTTTGAAGATGTCCTTCTGGCTTTTTTTTTTTTTACCGGACAGCTGACGGTAGGAAGCCACAAAAGAAAACCAGGACAGCGGAGGGACAACACATGACAGATACACACCACCGAATGGTGAAAAATCGATATATATGCGGCTCATTCTGTGGCCAATTTACACAAGACTTCCATGGCCTGTGAAGAATAAACATCACACAACCAATGTCGGTGGGCGGCTGTGGGAGGGTTGCTCCTTGTCTACAACAAAACTCAATCTTACAGACATGCCAACAATTATGTACTGAAAAAAAAGAAAACAGAGGTGCAATATTGAATTTTTACACACAACAATAACTGTGTGGGCTATACAGAGACAATAAATTGGATTTATCTTCACAATAACCTGTGGTTAGTGTTGATCTGTGAAAATCTGCCAGAATCTTATAAAGGTGTCTGATGGAAAGATGATTTTATTGATGAAGTCAAATAGGCCAGTAAGACCAGCTTCAGGTCAATCAAGAGACCCTGTGGTACGTCATTGTTCAGTCAAAAGGCTTATTTATCCCTATCATTCCGTTAATATATAATCTAATATCAACTCGCACTTGTGTATGAGGTTACCTTTTTATTTCCATTGTGCATTGCTGTGTGTATTTCAAGGTGTACTAATAGCCAGATGATACTGACGTAAAGAACATTTGCATGGCCAATGGAGGAAGAAAGGGCATGGGTAGAGGGTGGTGCAGGGGCGGGGTCAGAAGGTGGGGTGGAAGGGGGGGAACGCTGGGCAGAGGGCATGAGTCAAGTGAGTGTTGATGCAAATGAGAGCCACATTAGTGGCAAGAACAAATGCGCTCCCCCCCTTTGGTTCAATAGAATAATTCTGCATGCCTGTACAGCTTCTTGCCCGTCCTGTGTGTATGATCACATGTGTATGATTGTATGACTGTAAATCATTTAAAGTGTTAGTGTCTGAATGTGTTAGAGGAGGAGGAGGAGGAGGAAGGGGGGATCTCATTACCATTGGGCTGGGAAGACAGAGGTAGGTTGGTTAACATCATTAGAGGGCCGGGCCTGTCAGCGTAATGAGGGATAGGAAGCCTCTTGTGAGTTTGCTCGGAAGCAAGAGACACTGTGAGAAGGATAGGCTGGGGAAGAGAGTGTGACAGGTTATCACTAGCTTTGAGCTCCGACTGGAGGGTGGTGGTGGGGGGGTTGCTTTATGTGTGTGCACCTGGGTTTTGTGACTCTCGAGGAAAAAGAAAATGAGAGAGGATACAGGAGAGGACAGGACAGGACATTTTCTGGAACCAAAGACAGTCTGGTTTTAAACAAACCCAGGGGGTCTAAAGCTGCCATTCAATAGCCGACACAGAGCATAGTCGGAATTCTAATTGTCAACCCTCAGAGATAAGAGACACACACACACTCTCTGCTATGGAGAGCAAGAGAAAGTGAGGGAGAGACAGAGCGGCAAAGAGGTTTATTCCTGTCTAGTCTATACTCTCGTCACACTACACGGCAAATATGTCAAAGAGATTGTCAGCAATGGACTAAAAGAGGGGTTGAAACGGTTTCAAAGGTGATTGGAAGCAGAGAACGCGAGCGAGAAGGCAGGGCGTCGTTAATGAGTGACGGCGAGGCGGGAATAAACACTTGAGGGACTCTCAGAGAAGTGACACGGGCGGCACCATGTTGCAGTGGAGTGCGTCTGGGCAGTACATGGTACATAACAGAAAACATACAGACGCCTAATCGATGTTCCTTATTTCTAAGTCTGGTTTTGTTCACACTACACAGAAATGTGTAAGCAGCAATCTTCTTTATTCATCTTTTAAAAAGGAGGTGAAAGACGGGACGGTCCGTCACTGTCGTAGACTTTCTGGCCAGATTCAGTGATCTAGCACTGCTTGCAAAGTCGGACCAATGTTTGCATTGACGTTGTCCATACAGGCTTTGAATGCAAATGATTTAAAAGAGGTCTTTCCGGACTGCATAAAAATAATCACCAAAGCATAAAAAAGGTGGAATGAAGGCCTTCTGATATGTGGAAGCGTGTAAAATGTCCCTTTAAATTGCGCTTTTGACACGCCAACGAAAAAGCACAATCCCGATCAAGCAAAGCGTACAGGAGAGGAGGCGACCGACTGACTGAACTTTCCACAACCTTTTGAAAACACGCCACGCCAACTGAGCACAGGTTGAGTGAAGTTCCACCTCTTTCCACCCCCCCACACACAGGACCATCATCATCTTTTTTTCCCACCTCTTCGGATAAACCCATTTCAGCAAAGTAATTATTGCCAATGACTCAAGGAAGATGTGTGGGTGTGACGGAGAAGGGAGAGGGGAGAAGAAGGAGGGAAGGAGCAGAGGGATCAGAGAGCCCAGTCATTCAAGTAGTCCACGGCATCCTTTTCGCCCCCCCTTCCACGCCCACCCACCGCGGATTCTTCCAAGAGATGAGAGGAGCCGGCGAAACGATCTTCGCATTAACACTTCAGAGAGCCAACAATCCAGTTTTTTTTTTTTTTTTACACCGACCCGAAGGACAGAACAAATAATTCCCCAGCTGATTCATTTGTTCTGTCTTCCGTCTCTTTGCCTCGGACCGAAACATCTGGCCAGCTCAGGGGCACTCACACGTACAGAGATGCTCCAGCCGCACTCACCAGCATGTCCGTGGCATGGAGGTAGTGCTTGCTGGCCATATAGGCCACCAGCCGCTGGGGCACCTGCTTGATGCTTTCGATTTCATCCAGCAGCTGGAGGACGTGCTTGTGCTCGATGCCCTCGATCCACAACTTCCTCAGCTCGTCCCGTTTGCAGTGGAGCAGCATCTTACAGGACAGGAGGTTCTCCTTTACCTGAGGGGAGACAGGGGGGGGATTAAAAAAAATTAAAATACACACAATACAATACCATTTTTGTGCAATGGTACCAACACAAAAAAGGAGATGCTTTGTAGAAAGATGAGTGATCACAAAAACGCACAAATAAATCAACTTTAACCGCCGGAAAAGAGATTCATGTGTAATCAGCGTGGAGGGAATGTCTGATGAAAGTGATCATCGTCCCTTGAAAACACTTGATTTGATGGCGTGCGTTACGACTCTCTGGGAGTTCTTTTTGGCCTTGCACCCCTTCGCAGGTGTTTCCACTTCTGGCTGATTAGCTTAGCTGATTGGAGGTCGGCCAGTGGTACAGATGCGGACACCTAGAATACACTCCTTCTGTGATGGGGAGCTTGCAGTGCTTAAACCAGGTGGAAATGACAAATGCCGGTTACATTTTCCACTGTACTTTTGAGTTATCATTTTAGGACAGAAGCCGGCCAGCATAAAATGTCAAATCTTGTTTGCGAGGACTGAGGATTCTGACTGACGGTTTCTAAATTGGCAGCTTCCTTCTTGGGTGAAAGAGATTTGTGTCTTTGAATCTTAGAGAATAAAAAGGCCTAAAAACTGAGATAAGAACGCCTTCACGTACAAAGAGACCAATAGAATCTAAAAAAACATGTCTGATTTTGTATGCAATTACAAAACTTGGAGTCACTGCTTTTAAATCCATGAGCTTCAGTGGACGCACTAATACTAGTTATGGTTTCATCCAACCCTTGAGTGTCCATCTTTGTCAGTAAGTTTCTCAGTTCACCTGTTTGATTTTGTTGCGGGAGCTGGTGATGCGCTCTGTGATGCTCTGGTAAGTCCTGATGGCCGTGGTGAGTTCGGCATAATGTTGAACAATCAGCTCATCTAAATCCCTGTCGCATGTCTCGAAGGCTTCTTCCAGACGTCCCTTCTCCGTCTCCCGGTCCTGCACATCGTCACTGCTCGACAAAGTCCTGCATTTCAGAAAATCAGATTGAAATCATTAAATAAATCCACGTTATGAGTCTAAATGTAGCAACTGAAACAACTGAAAATCACAACTGAAAATCCCATAAAAAAATGACTCCAAACCAGCACATATAAATTCGTAAAACCATTACAGTTACAATATATACATAAAACAAGCTTCATATCATGACAACCACAAAAATAGGCAGGAAGGGTGCAGTTAGACGAATACACAAACGGAAAAGGTCAATGTTGACTTCAAGGTCGGAAGGCCCAACCGAGCACAGTTTATATCAATGTGGCAACACAAATAGTCCAAGATGAAATAAAGCATCTCATATATTTATACTCATAATATTTCAGTTTTCTAAAACTTTATTGATGGTGAAAGTAGGGGCGTAATGAATATTTGTATTAATTGCTTTTCATGCAATTCACTTTTCAATTTTCCAAAGATATTTGGCGATGATTAGCTAATTGCATCTAAATCAACATATAAGCACATACAAAATAATCTCAAACTCCCTTTAAAACCTTAACAACTGTTGCTATAGACATCTCGAAATTGCAAGCGTGTTGATATTGGCTGAGCTAACCAGAATAACAAAAATGTAAATAACCCGATAACGCTTATGACATTTTTGTATAGTTTTTATGATTAAAAGAAAGCAGTGTCTTTTGAAATGAATAAAAGAAGAACTTCAAATTTTCAAGAGCCACATTCTGTGGCCGATATTTAACATGTTCTTCTGCACCAGCAATTAGAAGGAAATGCTATTAAAATGAACCATAATATAATATATATTTAAATGAATACTGCTAAAGAAAATAGCTAAGGTGTGAGATGTAATTTCTTACACACAATCAGCAATGCAGGGAAGATGATGCTATCGTAGCTTTAGCTTTAGCTACCTGCTAAGCCGTTAGACAGCAAATGGGAGCGTAGTTCCGAAGCTGTCTGACGTCTCAAGATAGTTTTATGGTTTATATAATACATTTAACAAACCTTACCTTATGACGGAGATAAGAAGACCAGAGGGGTCTTTGTTTTTGCTAACTGCACTCCTGTATCTTCCTGTCTCAGCTGCCATTTTTCAGCTGCTGCACCCAAACAGGAAGTGAGAAGCGCGAGGTAACGCGAAGGATGGAACTCTGGGAAATGTAGTTTCAACACAGAAAAACAGTCAATTCTGCTTTGGTCACGGTCTAAAAAAGTGTGTGTACATTATACGGCAATTTTCTTCCACTAAAGATATTTGTAGATAAAACAGATATTAAAAAACAATGTAATGTATGAATATAAACTGTGTATGCTTATATGATATTCATCAACAAGGATCTCCGTTTTGGATGATGAAGATGTTTATGGTGTGAAAAAAGGTACAGGCAGATACCGATTTGGGTTGATGAGGAATAATCCTAACACAGATTTTTGATTTCAACAAAAATATCTCATGGAAAAACTGTTTTGTTGGAACATTCTCAATCCAGTCGTCTTTAAACTGATAAATCAAAGGTTGAGCAGAGAAAAGGAGGGAGGCACTGTGTGTCAGTGAGTTAATGGCCTCCCCTATTTAGAACATATAGTGCCGGATTTGGCAGGGCTCTCCTGAGCTGTATCTCTGGCAATCTGCTGTACCAATGAGAATGGGCGAGGGCATTGATTCTGGACCAAAGGAGGTCAATTCCCGGCAGCCCGGTCTCTGATTGATGCACTGGTGGACTGACCAGATAACATTGTGGGTGATCTTTGTGTCTCTTGTTGAGACAAAAAAGAAACAATCGCTGTGTCATGCGGTAGCCACAGTTTTTCTTCTGAAGGCGCAAAGCTTCCCAGGTCCAAGTTTCATTATGAAGTTCTTATCACCTTTCCCTGTGGCCCATGTTCCATCAGTCCAACTAATCGACAGGGCCTCTTTTTTCCAATAACACAGCACCAAGGTCATTTTTTTCAGCTTGACGTGCGTTTGGACAGTAAGTGATTGCTTTAACTGACTGACCTGTGTGGATTAAATACAAGGACAATAAGGTGTTTGACAGGCCTTTATGATCTGTTAAAATAGATCTAAATGCAAATGATGCATCTGAATTGCTTTGTGTCCTTTGGGTTGGTAAAGAATATATAGAAGGCAACATTTTACAGCACTTTGAATAGTTGGTCAGCCGCTTTAAACAAAACAACTCAACTTCTTCAAAGTAAAAGATTATTCCGCTTTTCATGAAACTGCAACTGATGATCAGGGATTGAGGTGCTCTATACGCAGCAGGCTCTTTCCCCTCAAATAGGGTTCTTGTAGTCATTTCATCATTCATGTCCTTGATTTGGGGAATTTAACCTATTGTTTTTTATCAGATGATGAGTCACTGTTAGACATTGCGAGAGAAATACCATTGAAATATAAACATTGTGTGTCAATACAGTACTTTAACTTCTCCAAAAACCCTGTGGAGTCTTAAAATAAAAGGGTATCCATTGGTGATCAAGCAGATTGTTCTTTAGTTGTTTCCATGGAAATGTGGTTGAGGGAAACAGCAAAAGTGCATCTATTATGTGCTTTTGTAGTCTTGAATTGGATCAAACAAAACATGTGCCTCATGTCTCTAACTTAATGTAGCACCTGAAGGATACAGTACCAAACTAATTTTATGTTTCATTCCATTTCTTTTACAGACATGCTTGATTGTACTGATATCTCCCTTGAGTAGAGCACTCAATTTTGCAAGGATGACAGATAAATCAAATCACATAAGGATTTATGGATGTCTAATGTGGAATCAACTCAAGCACCATTAGATCGAGGCAAAGTAAGAGTTATTGCCAAAAGCAGCAATGACACGGTTAAGAGGATAAAGCAAGAACAGAAAAGTAAATATCCTCGCTATCAACTTTTTACGGAACTAACAGACAATGAGTTTCAACACATTCATTTTGCACATGCAGGTTGAGGTGATAAACATATTTATGAAAACATATTTATATCATCGAGTTTTATCAACGTCAGAGAAACCATCTCATGTGGTTCATATTGTGAAGAGAAGTCGATTAAAGACAAACCATCGCATTCACAAAAAGTCCTCTCTAAACTGATCATAGGCTTTTGATAGTATTTGACATGAATGTGTTCCATTTTGCAATAGCAGCAAACTCAACCTTTGTTAAGTAGTTTTATATTTAAATATGTATTTAATTGAACGGTCTTTATTGCGCTAAATATTTGAATAGGAGACTTGTGTGTGGATACAATTATTCAACACAATTACAACTACACAACCACGATGAATTATTAAAAGGGGTTTTGTTATTTGTGCTTGCACACCATTGCAAAAATACAAAAGCTGCAGAAATGAGCGCATTAAAACCATGTATTTGATTTCTTTCTGGTTTATATATTAAGTTTGAAGGATTATTTTTATGAATTTTTCATAATATCTTCTCTTTCCGGCAATTATTTGGCTTAAATGCGGTCTCCTGCAAAGCTGTGTTTTTTAAATGAATATGACGTGTTCCATGGCAGACAAAACAAAGATGACCAAAATAAAAAAGGAATAACTAAATCAATACATCTAAATTAAGTCATACAGAGGTATTTATAACATTAATAACATAATAAGAAATTAATAATACAAAACACAAAGACGTTCAGACTGTATTAACAAATAGTGCTCTGCCCTAATGTCTAAGAAGAGAAGTGCTAAGTGGTGTTATTTCACCAAAGTACATTGACATTTTCACATCATCGAGTTCACATCTGCTCTTTCTGGAACGGAGGTCATCAAGAATCACCAAAGGTCTCCGGAAGTCTGTTTTGCTGTTAGTTAGTGTTGTTAACGCATTCTATGCTTTGCATGCCTATCATGTTCTTCTGTCTTCCATTATTTCCCTGCTTGCCTCGCCCCTTTGGATTTGTGTGTCGGTTTTGACAGGCTGCCTGCTGCAGACTAACGGCCTCTTCACTACAAACTAAAGCCTTCTTTAATTAAATGAGTTCTGCTACAGGAGTCTGCTTTTGAGTCCATGAACTGTCCACATCAGTGAAGCTGACTGCAGGATGTTTTTCTGTATTCCCCAACCTCTCCACTGGGAGCAGAGGGCCGATTTAGAAAAAAAATAGCAATACTCATTGTGTAAAATCAAACCGACAGAATATATTGGTCACGCATTATTTGCCAGGATAAAATGCTCTGCTATACAAATAACAATTACACACACTGAGATAAACATCAGCGTGTATTGATGTGTTTCAAACAAAGTGAGGAAAGCCAACAATGATAAGCAGAAACATACTCTGCAGGAGCTAGAAATTGAAGGTGAACTGGATTGCGTTGATTTTGAAGACACATGTGATGCCGGGAACAATGACCACTGAATGTGTATGTGATGGAGAATAAAGAGCAAATCGGCATACTAACTAAAGAGCACACTAAACAATTCTCAGGATGTCGGAAGGGTTCTAAATTTAGCTATTTCTGTCTTGTCCTTGTTATATGATTGTTGATATGGTGCAAGGGTATATATGGTCCTGTTTTCTTTCACAGTTATGTCAAAATAGATAGACATTGCCTTCTTTATGGAAATAGAAAAAAAAGTTAATGTCACAACTTGTCAGTTCATCTGGGAATGATGAACAGTATTATTTTCAATGATATCACTATCTTTTGGGATATTCAAAAGCCATAAATCACCCGTGTACAAAGTCCTGCCCGGGGGTCAAGCACGGCTCCTGGTCAGATTACATTGGGCCCGCTTCGGCCTTATAGCGTATTACCTATGGGCCGCTAGCACTGTTAAATAAATCACTTTAAAATGCAATTCTTCCCATGACAGACAACAGACAGCATAAGGACGTCTGTTTAAAATGATCGTGTGGAAAAGGCATTTATCAACTTCATGGACGTTTAATGGATTCCATACCGTTTTTTAATGTTATTTGACCCTCCAGATGTCAATGAAAGGCAGAATTGTGTTTTTAGAGTTCTTCAAAGTCGCTTATATTTGGCTAGATTGTCATTTGAAAAAAATATATATATTGTGATATGGGTGTATTATTTGCATGGAACTGTTATTGTTAAAGTCAGAAGTAACTATTGGGCCCCCGGCATCTTCACATTATCAAATCTCGCCCTCTTTGAGTAAAGTTTAGACACACCGGCCATAAATCAAGCTGTCAGTTATCCACAGAACGGCTTTAACGCTCCCACCCTGCCGCGTTCGATCATTGACCAATCAGAACTGCGTATCTAAGGACGTACAACGCTTCTGTCCAATCATCTCACACCTTTTTCCATGACGTCATGCTGAGGAAGTTCGCTCTGGCTAAAGCAGCAGCAGCAGCGGCGCGTGTGTTGTGGGCCCCGGCCAGCTAGCTACACCTGCTTCTAACGCGGTTAAGTTTCCACGGAAAGCCCAGCGTCAGTCTTCCAACTTACATGTACGTTAGATAACCGACCCGTTTACAGATAATGGGAGCGAACAGCAGTACCCGTCGTGTCTCCTTCGAGTCCGACGAGCATGAGAACATATCGGTGGTGAAGGGCATACGGGTAAGTGTTCGCGACACAAACATGCCCAGCGTTGACTACACAGGTGCGCGGTGACCGTTTCACAGGTAACACAGTGGTGTGCCAGCCTGTGTCGTAAATGTTAACATAAGATAAGAGTGCCGAATGGCTTGTCTTCATGCTACTGTGCTTAGTCGTTGCAAACGCATTCCTGCCAGCCCGACACTCCATTCACTCTGAAAGCAAAAGGAGTAACACAAGTTACATAAGGCATAGTAAGCAGCAGCCGCTGCAGTGGCTGGTGCAGTTAGCTTCCCAATGTCCTTCTGTCACCCGGTCTGTGAATGACACTGGGTGACAGAAGGACCGGCTGTGTGCATTCTTGGTTCAAGGTGACGTCATGAGGTGAGCGCTGTCACAGGTCCGTCTGTGCTGTTGTGAGATGTATATTTATAGCTGGAGAGGCTTTAGTCAGATAATACTTTATTGGTCACGATAATGTCTATCATTACTCTGTAGGCCAACTGGGCTAAGGTGTAATCCTGTTCATGCCAGTGCTGGGATGCGTTGTCCACTGATCTACTCACATGACCGACTTATGTGTGTGTGCTCCATATGTGTTCGATGAGAAGATATTTTGGGTATGAAGCAGGGGAAACAAAGCCTAGCTCTGCCAATAGTTACTAAAAAACCGCTGACCTACTAGCATGCACCTCATATGGTTGATCAGTAAACAAAGAAAATTGTGAAAGCCACAGCAGTTAAAGTGCGTAATGTATTTGTGTATGAGATATTACCCCTTGAATATGTCAAACTAAATTAAATTAAATTCACTTCATTCCTCCATTTTATAACTTTTTTTCCACTGTCCTTTGCAGCTTTCTGAGAATGTCATCAACCGCATGAGGGAACCCGACGCTCCTAAGCTCCAACGTGCCCCCTCTCCTCCACCATCCATGGCACCTATACTCCTTCCTTCTCCTCTCCCGCGGCCAGTTCCTCCCCTCTTTGATCCGATCACCTCCTTGCCACCTCCTCCTTCTCTCGTAGAACCTGTTGCACCATCATCTCCTCCTCCACCGACTCCATCTGCCAAAGAGACTCTGGCAGCTCCTCCTCCTCAACCTCCTCAGGAACAGGTAGCAGCACCCATCATTGCTGACGTGGTGCTTCCGTCCTCGTCACCACCGGCTTCTGCTGTCGCTGATTATAAGCCTGTGGTGGCACCTCCTCCCCCTGCTCCTGCTGCGGTTGAGCCAGTAATTTTGCCAACATCTGTCCCTCCTTCTGTTCCCATTGCTTCCCCGGTTCTTGCTCGGTGCCCTGCTCCAGCTGCGGAGGAAGCGATTGCCCCGCTTGCTGCTCCTCCCCTCGTAATTGAACCCTCTCCTCTTCCCCTAAACCAATCTGTTGCTTGTTCTCCTCCAGTAATGGAACCCAATGCTCCTTCATCCGTAGCTAAACCCATACCACCTCCTCTTCCTGTCAAGGTGACACCCGTTGTTGCTCCCCTTCTCCCTGAAGCGGAACCCCTCTCTTCCCCTCCTGTCTCTAAATCCGTTGCCATCCTGTCCCCACCCCTACATCCTTCAGGGGACGCTTTGTCCCCGCAGCCTGACGAGCCATTTTCTGCACCTCCTCTGCCCGAGTATACCGCACCCAGTGACCCAGTTGCACCTCCTCCTCAGCCCCCAGTCGACCCAGTACCCCTTGCTCCTGCCCCTGAGCCAGTTGTAGTGCCTGAGTCAATTGGGGATCCACCACCACCACCTGCTGCAGCGGCCGGTGAGTTTTATTCTCATACATTTCCAATAACAAATATTGAAAAAGAGAAGTGTAATTGATCGTTTTGCTTTGTGGTGTATGCTGTTCAGTAATCTGGTACTGACATCTGACTGATATTCTGGTGCTTATAAGGTAATCCATTTTATGGGAACAGGTTATTAGATCCCTATAGAACCCAGTTGTGTGAGTATACACTTAATGCTTTTTGAGGTATCTTTTTATTTTCATCTCCACTGACTTTTTAGTTTTTCCTGGACTTGGAGGCGGCTGAACTAATTTGTGCCTTGTTTCTCCAAACAAAAGACATGATTGAACGCTCAGAAACGGCAGAAATTAATTGTTTTGGTGGCTCATGTTATCCAGAAATGTAATCGGCTCTTCTCCAATACAATGTTAATTAAAAGGCAAAGGTTATGAGGGAATGAGCTGTCCAATGATTTATTTGAAGTCCAGCTACATTGAATTTCAATGATGTTTATTGTGTGGGTGTTTACTTTCAGCCAGCCTAAGCTTTTTGCATCCAACTTTTCTTGCCGATTGTAATTACTCGTCCTCGCAGCAGCCTCGGTCACATTACACATTTATTTCCATTCCCTTACTGTTAATTAAATGATTAATCATTTTATTGAAGTTAATACCTCCATGCTGTAATTGGTAGCTGTCATGGTGCCCCTTCTCCTTCTTGCTGTCTGTGAGAACACTCAAACTAGTGTTTTTTTTCCCCCCTCAATCGCATTTAAAAACAATTCCCTGTCTTTTAAAACCGCTGCAGTTCCTATTTCTTTGATGCAAACATTCTTTCACGCTGGTCTTTAGAGCGCGCTACCCATCCAGCAGCACGCGGCAGGCAGACCTACAAACACTGTGACTAGCCGGTTGTTTCTTGTTCACGTCGCTCCAGACTTATAAAAGAAATCCATCAATCGAAAGGGGTCCTGTTAAAAAAATAGCTTCTTGCTGTTCTTTTATAAAAGGCAAAGTCTAATTTGAGGACAAATTAAATCTTGAGAGACACTTCCTGTCGCTATTGGCAACCAGTTGGCTATTACATTTGTACATTCAACTCTCTCTCTCCCTCTCTCTCAAAGTAAACTTTTTAGTCTTGCTTGTCTTCCTTTTATCTCTTGATGTATCCGGTAGAGGACATCTGAATGTTGCCCAGTCATTAGACTATACATAACGGGGCGTGGGTGCTGCTTCTTCAAAGGTGCTGTGCAGGGTGTGGGCATGCCTCCCCATCCTTGACTGGGCTCAATCAGCAAGGTAATTAAAAAAGGCCAACTTATGCCACACCACACTGACTCCAGTGATTAAAACGACACCTCTGCAGTTTCCGACAACAAACCACCGGGCCTTATTAGGGGAAGGAGGTGTGTGTGTTTAACTTTTATTTATACATAGGACTTGTGTGAAATGACTACAGATTCTGTGTGAGCCACCTGCCTTTTTGTTTGAGCACATTATGTAACACAACTAATGGAATCTTGGTCTGTTTTTCCATTAACTGCGGGGCCTCTCACCGCAGAGCTTCGCTCGTCTCCATGGTGAATGAAGTAATTCCTGCGTTGTTATAGTTTTCAGATAAATACAACAAAGTCTCAGTCAAACGTGTGACAGGTTGTTAATGTGAGAGACTGCTGTCTCTGTTTACAATGCAATGTTGACGAAAGATTGGAAATATTCAAATGCATCATCCTTTAGGTGGTCAGTTAGGGATGTATCCTATCAGCTTGTTACGGGTTGACTATGTGTTTCTATTGTTGCTGCGTACTGCCTCCAGTTATCATCTTTATTTAGGCCATTATGCAACAATAAGGTATTTTGTGTATATTCTCCTAGCAAGGCCACCTGACAGCTTGGCATGTAGAAAGCGCCCCAAGTATAATGAAAAGGACAACAAAAAAAAAGTTGTTTTGTCTAACTGATCGAGCGCGAAGAAACAAATTTACGATGACTGTGAATCTTGTTAAAAAGTTGCAAAGTTCAGCCCAATTTTGAAAGGGTACGACCGTAATGAGGCGCGCATTGATTATGTGCGTCCACCAGAGTTGGCTATCGAGTGAAGCTCTCAGCGGGTCGGCTGTCTCTAAATCACGGACGTGTGTGTGTGCGTGTGCGCTGATTACACCATAGTCAAGGTTGAACCTCCTACACCTTCTCCAATGCGTAATAAATATTCATTCGCCGCAGCCCACACACTGCGCTGGACTAATGGCCTGCTTAAAGATGTCTCCCAGGTGAAAGCAGAGCTGGTGGGGCGGCGGGGCTGAGGAGGAAAACAATGGCAGAAGTGTGCGTGAGTTTGTGCGCGTGCATAAATGTGAGTGCCAAACTTATCAGGACAGATATCTCAGTCTGCTTTTGAAACTGACTTCTCCTGTTCTCTCTTGCGCATTGTGAAATGATGGGATTCCGGTCCTTTTTTCATAACATGAGATTGAATTAAAAGGACAGAGTGTGAAGAAAATAGAAACGTCTGAAATGGCACCTGCCCGCCGGGGGCCGGAAGCTTCGCTCCTGGCACTTTTCCTTTTCCTCTTCTTGTCTTCCCCTCTGTCCTGCGTGAACGTAGTGAAAGGTGTGCGGTGGGCGAGAAGCGTGAGGAAGTGGTAATGTTACAGATTATGCCCTCCACGCGGGTCCATGGGGTTAATGAAACTTCTGATGAGAAATGCAATTTGCCTTCGTCTATTATCTCCACTGCCAATAGCCTGTGCTCCACCGACTCGCCTCCTCCTTCTCTGTGGAGTTTTTCTCCACAGGGTTTAGTGATTGGTGGAAAAGGAAAGGAGGGGGACACGTCTACAAAGATGATGAGTTTTTAATCTTTTTAACATTTACATGTCCTACTCGGGATTGACACCGGCTCTGTCGATCTGGAATTGTCTCTGACCCGAACCAGCTTCCCTCAAGGACCCCAGTCGGTGTTTATCATATCAGAACCTGTTCTCCGGCTGACCCTGCGGGCCTGCTAGCTATCTGAAGCCTCTCCCTGCAGGGCCGAGGAGAGGATGTGGTGATAAATGAGGAATTGCTCGGGCTCGTCTGAACTTGGAGGACTTTTAGGATTTTACTTTTAACGGTACACTGCTTAAGGGTTTTATATTCTCATGTAAAGCATGAGATCATTTAAAGGCCGGCCGATAGAGAAAGGCCAAATCTCACTTGGTGGAAACCTTCCTAATGGCAGGAGTTGACCTTTGACTCTGATCTAATGTAATGATACTTGTTATGACCATCGGTGCATTCAGACAATGAAATGGTTGAGGGACCATCACCGTCTGTTCCTCCCTGTCCACCACCTACACTAGAACGTTACTGATGTTCCTGTATGGGAGGAGTCGAGATTGTAGCCTCAAAATGTCGACTTCCTGTTTGAAGTTCTTCAGAGCTGTACACTCTGCAGTGGGATCAATGGTGCTCGAGAGTGCTGTTAGGCATCATGGACATTACTTCACCATGCTGGACAGCTAGGGTGACGGCCCTCTCTGTCTGATGATTTTATGTATCCATCACAATCGTTGCAATAACTTCAGCCAGTATCACTTATTGTTAGTCCAACCAGAGGAAAAGGAAAAAGGAAAAGAAGCTATTTTGAGATTATTAGATCAATCACAACATTGAGACTAACAACTATTTAAGAGCTCCAAGCTTTAGTGTGTCCCCGAAAGGTTAGTTTAGAATTGGATGTATTTGATGAGTTACTTTGTAGTCGAAACAAAGACCAGAATTTATCAAAAGCACTTTCAGATGACCACTAGTACCACTTAAGAAAAAATGATATTCCCCGAAACCCAAACTTTTTTTCGCTACCAACGGTGAGAAAATATCAATTTGAAGCAAGGACCTAAATGATTTATTGACTGATTGAATTGATTTTTTTTCCCCCCAAGGAGAGGTTTCTATGGTGTCATTCTGTTTCTTTGGTCTGCAAGGCATCTGAAAAGCTTTTTCAAAAGATGTCCAGGACAACTGGTGAACAGGCTTTGGGCCTTCTAGTATTTCAAACATTTAATTAGATTATGATGTTAATGTGTATTTGGGGCTTCTAATATTCCGCTTTAGTTAAAATAATGAAACTTAGCATTTCTGAAGGTTTGTAGTAACAAAAAAAGCATATCGTAAACATTTGTATTGATACATTACACACAAATGTGTGCATATGTATTCATACAATATTAGACTGAAAATTATTTTAACTAACTAATGCATTGGTAGAGTGAACTCTCCCCCCCCACACACACACACTGCAGTGTTGCAGCACACCACATGATACTTCTGCCTCCAGAGCACGTTTCGGCCCGGTCGCTGGCTGCCATCTTTACTTTCATGCTTAATTACCTACCGAGATAGACCGGTGGGGACATGGAATCATGCATGTAGGACGTCCCTGACATGAATATATGTAGATCGAAGTTTGTGTGTGTGGCTTTTACCCCTTAATATCTTAAGAGCCTAGATTTCATTCACAGAGTGAACGCATTCCATGCTGGCCGCAGCTTACTATTATTTTCATCAACGCTTTAATCCGCTGATTACGTTCTTGATTAATTCATTAGTTATTTGGTGTTTGAAGCAGGCAGAATTAAGTGAAAAATATCCTGTCACAATTTCCTAAAGCATTTGGGGGCCGTCATCAAATTGCCTGTTTGTTTGACCAACAGTCGCTTGTTGGGTTTAATTGGAAAAGAACAGTGGGTTGGGTTTTTATGTCGAGTAATTTTTTAATCAATTGTTTTATTTGAAGAACACGTTTTCTGACTCCTGCAGATTTTAAACAGCTTTTGGAAAAATAAAAATGTTTTCATTTTTCTTTCTTTTCCACTAACCACTCTTTCTCTCCTCCCCTCTCTCTCATTTTTGTCCCCAGTTGACGAAGAGGCCCTGAGGAAGAAGATCAGCGATGAGCTGTATGAGACCCTGGAGCAGGATAGGGCAAAGGCAGAGCAAGAGCTGCAGGCCTGGTTAGACACACACACACACACACACACACACACACAGTTTTGGTGGGTACTTGCGGGCCATAGTATGTACTTCAGATGCAGACTGATAACTTCAGTGCCCCCCAAAAAATGTATTATAGCCAAGATTCCTGTGTTGGCCAAAAATCCGTCTCTGCTGTTCGTTGTGCATTTCTCCACCACTTGCCTCTTTGCGCCACTTCTCTCCCCTACTCTCCTTCTGTAGTTCATGACAGATTGAATCAGGGAGCCTCACCTCGCGTCGATTCCTGTTCCACGATTTCATTAGAAAACCGAAGACATTCCTCTGATGTGACCGTCCCCCCCCCCCCCCCCCCCCTCTATCATTAATATGCAAAAAGGTCAGCATTGCCCTCTTTCCATCCCCACTGTGTTTCCAATCTCCCTCCCTTCCGAAGCACATCAGCACTTTTCTCCTCCCTCTATCTCTGCTTCTCCCCTCCTTCTCTGGATCAATTAATCATGCCTGAGAAAGGAGGGCGCTATCCTGAGGTAATTTCCTGGGTGTTGAGTGGGTGATCCATTAGCCCTGCCTGATAAAGAAAGGCACTGTTCATGTAAGGAGCACATTCCTCCTCTCCCGCTCTCTGCTCTCCCTTCTCCTTTTTTGACCCAAAAGAAGCAGGTGCACTTGCCATAATGATGCTGCGCACCTCTTAAATAGTCCTGGGTGATCGCCAGCGGACTCCGGTGAATGAACAACTGTGATTAGCCACTAATCGCGCTCTTGTACTGTACCGGAGGGGGACAAAACCCCACAACCTCTCTGTATCCAGGAGGAGGGGGTGTTAGCCTAGCGATTAGCCTCGATGATGAGGCGCATTCAGAAAGGGAGAATTTAACAAGTGGTTTTGAGAAATCATTTGTCAATTGATTTTTTTTTTACCCCCTCATACGTAGCTGCATCCTGCTGCTCACTTATTCTTGTCTATTCAGAGCAGTAAGTGCCGCAAAATTACACCCTCTGCGCGGTTAATTGAATTCATGGAGGCTCAAGCCCTCAATTTGTGTTTGCGTTTAGCACGGGCTGCATTTTCTCTGAAGAAGACTTAACTGAATATAAAATGGTAAATACACAATCATTTGTAAGCCTGCACTTTTGTGTATGTATGCTTTTGTGTGTAGAAGTATATTGACATTAGTTTTTGATGTGTGCTGCTTAATTCTTCTGCTCCTTTTGCCCCATTATGCTTATTCTATATGTGCTCTTTGTGTGCATGTATTTGTATCCATTTCCAGGATATTAGTTTTGCAGGCAGTAATACATGGAACAGCCATCAAAATGCTTCCTGGGGTTTGAAGAGAGCTTAAAAAGTGCAGAACAATGGAAGGTTTTGTCTAGAATCAACAAGTATGAGGAAAACACACCACTATTCGTCAATAGAGGTCCCACTCCCTTCTGTTGCCACTGCAAGTAAACTTTTCTATTTATTTGTAGTCATTTCAGTTAAAGTTGACTGGTGCTCTGTTTTAGTTGAAATTTTTTTTTTTCCTCATTTGCCCCGTCGAACAATAATTCCGTTGCATTGGGATTTCACCTTCCCACAGTGCTGGCAGCAGTCATGGGGAGTTTTGAGTAGATGACGAAGGGGCTGTGGCCTTCGCTGCGCTGGCAGACCCTGCAAGGAAACCGTTGTAAAATTGAATTATGGAATAAATGCGTTGTGTGTCTGTGCGTGTCAAAGGGCGTATCAAAGCTCCGCTAACACGGCTACACGCTAGTTAAAGAGCGCTGTAGTGAACCTGCTGCACAGCTTGAAAACAAGGAGGTGGAAGAATGTGTGAACCCCGAGGTCAGTGGGGCAAAACACACAAGATCCATGAGGCCGACATCTCCCGATCATGTTCAACCCCCAAAAGCATTAGGAATTCGGGCACGTTAATTTAGGATAGAAAACGTGTAGCAATTGAAAAGCCGTTTAAAAAATCAGCTAAATGCCAAATTGTAGCTGAAAAAGCAATGTAGTCAATTTAAATAATATTATATCTGAAAAGCACTCAAACACATCTGTTTTGTGTTAAATGTAGTTATTTCCACTCTTATTTCCTAAATCCTCTATTCTATTCGGCGCAATGTTGGGTCTTCTCAACAAGGGGATTTTGAGCAGCGGTGGCTTTGAGATTACAGCAGTATTTCTTCAGCCCGGCTCCCAGGGTCATAAATGGGCTCCAGAGATCTGACTCTGGATGTTTCGGTCAGACTGAAGTAAAAGCTCTGCGAGGAGTTCATTTGGGTGCAGCCTGAACTCATTTGTATCAAGGAGCGGCTGCAGGGACCAGATTTGCCTCTTCTCTGTGAGTCACCAGAGCAGAACAACTCTGAGGGGGGGGTGGGATGTGAGAGAAGGCGGGATGAGGAGGAGAGGGGGGGAGATAACTCTCAGACCATCCTGTCCCTTCTCCCTCAGACAAACTCATCCTGTGTCACTACTCGATCCTCTCCGAGCACTGCTCTCCAGACTTCTTCTTGCATTTCGCTCCCTATCTTGTCTCCTCATTCCTCGCTCGTCGCCTTCCTTTCTATTGGTCCACGCGCTCTGTATTTCTCAGTCCCCCTCCCTATTCCCCCGCTCTACTTCTTTCCACCTCCCTCTTTCCGTCAGTCTCGGCTCCTGTGCACGAGATGCACGTGTTTGAGTTTCAAACTTTAGCACTTAAAGGTTAGTTGATATTGTTGTTAGAACTTTTTCCCATTAGTTCAATGCGTCGTCAAGCAGTTGTGTTGGCAATATAATTGTGTGTCAGGTACGAGCGGGAACACTGACCTTCTCCTGCAGCGTCTGTCTTCCCATTAACCAGCCAGCCTGTTAAACCCCCACCCAGGGTGAGATGCAGATCACTAAGTCCAGTTTGCTGATGATTTTTACATATCTGTTTTTCCATATAGTTAGTTTTTTTGCTCCCCCACGAATCCATGCACTTGTTGCACAAAAACCTCCAACTCATTAAAACAGAGTTGAAAAGTTGGGAGGTTATTAAAAAATCCAAACTGAGTTGGCCAGTGTTGTCTGACTTTTTCCGTAAAAAATGTATATGCATCAACAAGCTACTGCCATTCGCTCACTGCACTATTTCTTCATGATATCTTAACTGAAACTACCGCAGAGACATGGAACACCGGAGAAACGTCTCACAAAGTACTACTAATTCAAGATGAATAAATATTACTGGAGTCCTCAGGCTTCAGAAGTAAACATGTTACACCTTTGCCGCTTTTCCTAGTTGGGATATCTCTAATCATCTTAACATTTCACTGCCCGTGTGAGTACATCTGAGTATTCCCTTCCAGTTTATGATCCTCGCTCCTCATAAACCCCCAGTCATAAATACACGTGCATAATGGCACTGCCAGTCCCCAGGGCAGAAGCCATTTTAAGGGTTGGATTAACAGAAAAAATATGTAGAGAGAAAAAAAACAAAAACGCAAACTTCAGGTCTTTTGTCCTTTTTGAGTTTTAACGCACCCTGTATTTGCAAGCTGGTAGTTTGAGCTTTTTGGCCCCAGGTATGATATTTGAGGAGATAATAACGCAATATATAAGTGTGCTTAGTCATTGCGGTTATCTCTTTATAATTGTGGGCAAATTAAAGGGGGGGGGGGTACAAAATGGCTCGTTTATGTTCCTTCTGCAGGGTGGGGGCTCTTCTACGAATCTTCTCACTGTACTACCGTCCTTTGTTCCCCCTTCGCTTAATTCTAACGTGTGTGTGTGTGTGTGTGTGTGTGTGTGTGTGTGTGTGTGTGTGTGTGTGTGTGTGTGTGTGTGTACACACACAGTTCCTTGACCCAAAGTCGCAGTATCGAGCTATCCCGCCTATGAATATTTAATATGAAGTGCCACAGATCTAAGCTCCGTCTGCTTTAAATAATAGTGTCCTTAAATAGCTCGAGGTATTTCCATCCAGGGTCATCTTCTGAAAATAGTAATTTTTCTGGAAAGGCCGAGTCTGTCGGAACCGACTCGCGCTGTAATCTTTGTTTAAATTCTCGGGGTTCCTCGCTGTCTCTTTTTGTCCGCAGAGCCATCAAACACTGAGGTTACTCACTTTCTACATCTGGTACTGGACCGAACATCATCCACTTGTCGTCCTCTGAAAATGTTTATTTTCTCCTTTCCCCATGCGTAGGTGCTTTCCCCCCCACCCTCCCTTCCTCTACCTCAAAGCCCCTCTGCCCCCCCCACATCTTCTGACACAGTGCCAATCTTCTACAGTCGAATGAAAAATGCGTCCAATATCCCAGGGACAGGGCAATAATGACTGGAAAGCAATAGAGGTGAAGCAGACAGATAGCATCCGGCTAGTGATAGCGGGCTTTGCTTGGGTTAGCACTTGTGAGGAATTCAGTCCAGGGACTTTTTTTTTTTCCCTGCAAGGCTGTCAGTTTTCTTTGCTCCCTTTCCAAACAAAACGGGTAAACAAAGGGACTTTTTTGCGCTCCGTGTCAACTGTTGCTGACGGCTGCGTAAGAGAATGCACCTGCACACACAATTATTCAAAATGAAATTGAGTGCAGACAAGATTTTATGAAGCAAAGCTTTGTGAGTGACGGCAAACAACCAACCTGCTTTGGCAGAATACATTTGCATCTTCCGCCGCAGTAATAATTGCTGTGCACTCGGAGGCCTAAAGGTCACGCTCCTGATTGCTAATGTTCAATAGTGGCAAACTCCTTTTTGTAAAAATGTCACTTCTGCGTTAGTTACAGGAGCAGTAACAGCCCCAGCTTCCTGAAGCTAGCTCAGGTGCATTAGCAGTGCAGGCGGGCGGGCGTTGATTGTGGGGAAATGGTGACTGTAAAAGGCCATTAGGAGGCTCCCTGGGTGTGCCTGCGTGCGTGTGCGCGTGTGTGAGAGAGCCCGATGATGGATGGAGTGTGCTGACGTGTGCAGCCCATTGGACTGTGAGACTGGACATGGCTCGTCTCCCCGCCCACCACCCTCTCCGCTCTCACTCCCTCTCTGCTTCGCTTCCTCAGGGCCAAACATGTCATGTCGCCGCCGCTCATTCCCGCTCCGTTCGTCTTTTTCCCTCCGTCTGCGCATCTCGTCTCCCTCTCCCCTGCTCTGTGACATTTAGTGGTGTTGCGGGGCAAATGGCAGCTTTAAGACATGAGACATATTTTTATTAGACCTACCCATCATCTGCTCAAAGGCCAAAAGGCATCGAATCAGTGGGGCCAGTGTGTCCATCACGGTTCCTCAATGTTTGGCATTTTCACAGGTGAGCGAAGAGATGAATACAATTTTCGAAATTGAATAAAAAATGGAAAAACTTTCCCTTTGACGATCAGGAAAAGCAGTCGTAAGTAGAAGAAGCCACTTGCCGTGTCAAATGATCATAGTGAGCCACGCACAAACCCGCTGAGGCTGTGAATGAGTCATGCATTTAACTCAGCGGTTGATTGTTAAAGAAACTTTGAAAAGAGTGGAAGCAGAAGAAGTAAATCTAATTCAATAACCAAACACAAAAATCCTACTTTAGTGGCTTAACTGTTGGAAATCCTACTTAAACTGATAAATCAGACTTGTGATAATTAATGGATCAGAGGCGATTCATTTGCAGGTGGAGCTATTTGATATTGAAACGTTTTGCTCTCTGGGGAAAAAAATCCCAACACCAGTCACCATCGCACTCGGGGCAGCCAACTCATCATCGTCATCAAGGCTGTCTTTCAGCGATCTCCAAGGATCCTTCCTTCTGCGGAAGTTTATTGAGATCCTCGCCATCTTTATTCAGTCTGTCGTAATTCCGCTCCGTCTGCTCTGTTTATTCTACCTTGCCACCACTCTTGACTTTTGAGGGTTTTTTTGATTCTCTTCTCCAATCAAGCACACTGTCGCTGACGCCGAGTAGGGAACATGTTGCTAGGCAACTATGAGAACCCAGTGACAGGGTTCAAATGGTGGTCCTCTATCTGCAGAAAGTGCAGCCTCGGTCTATGGCTGTGCTTCATTGGATTAGGGATTCTCGTTTGGGGAAAACGGTGCACATGCTGTCTTTAATGAGTCACATTTCCCTCTTAAAGGTGTGCGTTTATTGTGTTTATTACCCAACAGGTGTTTTGTTGACGTCTCAATGTTGCCCCCGGTGGAAGCGCACGGACGTGTGTGTGTGTGTGTGTGTGTGTGTGTGTGTGTGTGTGTGTGTGTGTGTGTGTGTGTGGACAACATTAGTATGCAATTCATTGCCTGTATCTGTTTCATTAGAACTTTACTTGTATTTATGAACTTTTCATTTAGGAAATTAAGGAAATCATTGCAGAATGCCGGCATATGTAGTGCTGTAAACATCAAAGATACTTGGATGCTATCAGATGACCCTGAAGCCATTCAAGATTCTTTTTAAATAGACTAAATCTAAATTAGTTTTAACACCTATATATAAATGTATGCTTGTTTTAAAATGACAAAACCTTCCAAAAAAAAGCTTCTGGGCCACCATACTGCGTGTACAGACGACGCAGGTCACACGAGGCTGAGCGGTGCTCATCACACCCTTTTGAAATGGGTTAAAAGGGGGGTTTTCACCATGTCACATGTTTTACACTCCGCAGGGTCACGGCGGAGAAGGCGCGGGTGGCGGCCCAGGCCCAGAACGAGGCCCAGTCCCAGGTGCCGGGCGAGGTGGCCAGGCTCCTGTCCGCGGAGCGGGCCGTGGCCCAGGAGAGCATCCAGCAGGCTGTGATGAGGGAGAGGATCTCCACGGAGGACGAGAAACGCCGCGCTCAGCTCTTTGTAAGTCCGTTGTTTAGGAACGCTCGCCTCCACAGGCTCGCCGCCTCGTTTCATCCCCTCGCTGTGTGTCGTGCGTTTTCATCATGCGGTCGCGAGCTGTTATTAAATAAAAACAAAAGCTAAATCTCCATAATGCAAAATCCTATTCGGTTTCTAAAGGAAGCAAATTGTAACCCTAACCCCTCATCGCTTTGTCCACATCTTGTAGTTTGAAATGTTTTTCCGCCTCCATATCTCGCCGCCTTCATCCGGCAGTTTTATAAAAGCTGCGTTCATTTTGGCGGCCTGTGTCTTTTTATTTTCTGTAAATTGGCCTCATAAACGTTGTCAGATGAGGGTTTTCTCTCAACGCACACAAAAAGAAAACCCATTTTCCCTGGAGTGCGGCCGCTGTTTACAAACCTACGCTGTTGATTATATAGCTCATTTCACACGCTCATCGCTGTAATAGAAAAATGAATCATTTTGTTGAGCGGGAGAAGGAGCGTCGCCGTAATTCCACGCCGCAGGACAAGCGTCTTGCGGGGGGGCGTCTCCCGTTTGGAACGGCGGTCAAAGCGAAAAGTTAAAAGGAAAAACAGAGTCACATGACTTAAAGTGTTATTCCCTTCAGCTTCTGTAAAGAAAGCAGTGGTGGGATTTTCTGTAATTTAATTTCTGCTGTTGAGAGGAACAAATGAGGGGAAGATCCTCCTCGCGGGCCCCTGGCCAACCTCGGGGGGGGCATCAGCCATTTTTACTGTTTTATTTTTTTTTTTACAATTGCGTGAGCGCGCCCGTGTGATAATTTCCTCAGTTGGAGAATTCTTTTGGAGTGCTCCAGTTTTAATGGAAGCCGACAGGTTATCAGCGGAGGCACAGCGCCGTTCGCACCACTCGTGTAATTGTCAAGCCGAGACGCTTCAACCGAGCCAGAGCTCCTTTCAACTGGAAATGGACTTTTCCATTTTTTAAATTTTTTTTTTAAAGGCGGCCTGCCGCCCAAGATGTTCGCCACCCTTTGTCGTCCCAGTCTGTCTTTGATGAAACATAAGAAATATTTTGAGGCCTTAATGCGTGTGTGTGTGTGTGTGTGTGTGTGTGTGTGTGTGTGTGTGTGTGTGTCCCTGTATCCTCCCTTTGTGCCTTCACGTGGGATTTTATTTCTTTTCACTCAAACAAAAAAACAGAGCAGAAATACATAAAATATGCCTACGTTCCCCAATAAATTTCAGCTATATTCCCATGCAGAGAAGCATCAGTGACTGGGAGGTGAAAGTGGTTGTGAATGCTGGGCAGAGTCAATAAGTTGATCGAGAAAGAGCTCAGGGGGGAGGTTGAGGTTTGGCGTACTAAGCACATAATCCGGTGTCTGATGGAGCTTTCAGAGGTGATTTGTTCAGTCCTACTCCCACTAAACCTGTTAACACATCACGTATTGTCTTACAGGCTAAACTGTCCTTGAGCAATAATCACTACATTAGAATTAGTTCATATTCTTTTTTTTTTTTTGTGCAATGTTTAGCTCGTTGCAGAGTGTCCCTGCACAAGATTGGTCTAATTATGCTTCAGTGTTATTCCCTTAGAATAAAATTGATGGATGAGAAGATTTCATTACTTCATTTCTTAACATTGTATCTTGCTGCTAATTGACTAATATATACTTTCCGTTTAAACAACAATCGAATTATAACTCAAGCAATCTTTTTGTGGCACTTCATTCTCCAATGTTTCCATAAAATTACCACCAGTTTTCCATTTTTTTCATCTTTTTTTTTTTTTTGAACCGCTGATACGTTTGACTGTTTTGGAAACTGCTGGATTCATCTCAACCCACTCGCAGTTTTGGAGTCAAAATAAATTGTATATTTTTTTTTCAGTTGTAGGAATGATGAAATTGAGACTGTCGACACAGAGAGTAAACATCTCATCCGTCATCCATCAATCCGTTTGTCTTATTGTGGAGAACTGTTGTTTTTCAGTTTGTATTGCATAAAGGCAGTAAAGAGAAACAACAGGGAGAGACACGTAGTCATGGCCAAGAGGAGGCCCTGCAGTAAGAACACTGTATTCACAGGTTACTTCCATAAACTATAAACGCACAATAGAAATACAAAAAAAAAGCATTGCTTTGTTGTGAGAATAAGAAAAAATAATGTACCTATAAATCAAGTTCCGTGTCTTTGTATTATGAATAGGACGGTAACATTTTAAGCCAGAATTTGGTGTTGTTATTGTAATTATTTTAATTGAATGTGAATTGACCTGAGCCCTGCTCTCATGTTCACGGCCACAGACAAAACATTTGTCTGCGGCAGCTGCCGTTGTGTTCTTTGTCCAGCGTGGTATTGATTTGTCCTCCTCATTAAGATACAGGTCACGGTGAGCAGCCGGACCCCATGCAGCCCCCCCCCCCCCCCCCCCCCCCCCCCCCCCCCAACCCGCCATCCTCCTTCTCCCTCTACTTCACACACAATGTGAGCGGGTGCTTTGGGCAGTTATGCCTCCCCACGCTCGCCCATAATGACCATAACCTCCGCCTCCGTAGCTGCACCAATTACAGCGACACCCAATCGGGAGAATTGTCCTGAGACGTGGGGGGGGGGGGGCGGGGGGGCGGGGCCGGGTAGCGTTTAGATAATATTGATTTTTGGATTCTGATTTGTATTGTGTGCCGCCTCAGATTCTCGCCTTATTAAGTACTGAAACAACATAAAGACAAAAAGCAAAAAATTGTTTTCTGACGGCAGAAATATCCAACCATCAATCACTCAATGGAAGACTTTTAATTCATTACATCCACTGTACCTCATTGCAGGATATTTACATGCATTTACGTGCATAGTATTCAGAGAGAGCGAAAGGAAGGTATGAGCAGGCGCCCATGTGACCACCAGCGGCCCTACTCGGCGCTTTGGATGAACAGGTGAAGTTTAAGATAGTTACCCAGAAGTTCCTCGTGGAAACGCAGCCAATGATTTCCTTTCAATTAATTTTTTGAAAGAAATAAGGAAAAGGAAATTGGACAAATATATTGTCTTCCTTGTCGTTCACATGTTAAATGTCCTCCGTCATCTACTATATTAGCGAAAGGTTTAAGGCACCTAAAAGTTGCCCTTCAATGCTGTGTAGTGTTTAATATAATATAAAGTGCCGTCTCGTCCATCGCATCCCCGACGTTTCTGCCCACCCTGCCGGGAGTTCTGTCCCACCTCCTCTCCCCTGTCAGACTGTCCGCCACCACCCTTCCCCCAAGTGCACCAGTAATTGAAACTTCAGTGCAGGCAGGTGTGTGTGTCTGTGTTTTCTGGTTCCCCGGGTTCCGTGGTCTGAGGTAAACACGCTTCAGTGTCAATGCTCACACATGTTCTGCCTCTCGGTGGGGGGGACTGGGGGGGACGGTACACAACAGGCGTACACAACAGGTTTACCGTGGTTAAGCACAGCGGTGCCATCGTATCGGAGGGAGACGAAGCAAACTGATGCAATTTCTGTTTAACTGTTTGACATTTCACAGAGGCTCATTCAAGTCTTTTTTTTTTTTTTTTTTTTTCATTCATTTCAGTTTTTAATTCTGATTATTCCTGCTTGTCCGAAGCGTGGAGACAAAGATCACAGTGGCTGCAAACACAGGAGTTCGCAACACTTACCACTGATTTGTGTTGTCACTAACACTCTCAGGGACCTAATAAAGAGGTCATTCAGATCATTTCTCGACTATTGTGATATAGTAAGCGGTCATCCTGCTGAGGAAGAACTCTTCATTGTTGGCTTGATGTGATCAATATATCAAGGAGTTTCTTACTAGACTTAGTACACAGAAATGGACCTTTTTAATTAGCGAACAGGTCAATTAGTGCTTGATTTACCAGGACGCCACTTAGGATCTGGTTCCCTCCCATGGATACTGGCTGCAGTCAAAGCAGAAAAGGACTGGGGAATGAATGAGCGATGCTGAAAATAAAGATAATAGTCTTTTATACGCCGACAAATGATGCGTTTTGACAGGGAGATATACGCTGGCCCGAGTCGGGCACCTATTCACAGTCCACGGCCATCCGTCAGTCCGCACATCTGCGTTTTAATGAAACCTCACACTTCCGCCGTCCCCTCTCTTTCTTTGCTTTTCAACGACTCGTTGCTCTGCGGAGCCAAACCTGCCCGGTGGCCAATCAATCACCGGCCGCCGCGTTGCACCCAGACACCGGCTCTAACCCCAGGCCGCCATTTCAATCAAACGCGGAGTCATCAATCTTTCCCAGCTCCCAAACAGGGGCCTAGGTGGGGCGTACCTGGCGGCAGTGGTTTGGTCTACTGTTGGCAACTGGTCGAAAAGCACTCCGATCTCCACACTGACATTTTCATTTTTATTTTCAGACCTCACGCTAACTCAGTGTAGCGTAAATAAATATGCGACAGAAGGATGTAAAGTTATAAGAGTAATGTAAGTTCCAAGCTGTCACCAGTAGTTAGCAGCACGAGCATGATTGCAGACCTGGCTGCACTTGCCCTTGAAAACGGGCTCCTTGGATCAATCAGTGAAATTATAGCCTTGCTTTTGCTGTAATGGTGCACTTGGTGGACCTGGCGTGGTCCAAGAGTTCGAATTGATGGGAAGAGAAGCCCTTTTGTGTGCCTCAGCAGATCATTATTGAAGCTCAAGCCTGCTGGTGGTCGAATAGACCTTTTTTTCTTTTTTTACAACAAATGTCAAAACTATAAACTAACATTAATCTTGAGATTTAATCCACCCGTTAGTCTTTGTTAGTTTATTATGCTGTTGTTTTGTAGCACACACACACCTGTTGCTAATTCGACGTTCCAGGATTTTGCCACCACCAAAGGAGTTCTTTGAGGAGTTTCACAGCAAAGGTTTGATGCCGCCTACCAAGAATACCTATTTGCTCCGTACACACACACACGCGCAGACACCAAGCTCCTGAAGAAAATCCGTACCTGCTCTTTCCTTAAACTGTGTTCCATTTGATGCTTGGCTGGCTTGAAAAGCTTAACATTTTGAA